TGATGATCGCGCATCAAGGCCACCACTGCAGCCTGTGAGGGCGCATAGGGCGATGCACAGGTGAGCGAGGCGCAACGCGCTGCAGCGAGTTACCGCGCAGACGCAAGCTGCCTATTTGGGCTCATAACCTGATGAAGAGTTATGGAGGCAGCAGCACGCACAGTGCGCCCTACACAACTCACCTGTATTGGTTGGATGCTGTAGCTACTGGTAAAGCTCGTATAAACGACCCTTGTCATTAGGCAGCAGAGCTGTAGGGTTTATATACACAGTGGCCCATAGACTGACTAAGCTACGTGGAATATCCCTAATCCTACTGAGCTCCACCTATGATGTCACTGACCCACATGAGTTCCGTGCCATTGTACAATAATGGAATATACCAGAATATTCCAGAGGGTTCCGGTATGTTCTGGTACGTTGTAGAACCTGGCAGCTAAGTCAGCGCCTAGTTCAACAAAGACTGCATCGAGCGGGGACGTGATCCGAGCGTGAACTGACGGGTGTGCATATGCCGTATGCGCCGTTCGATGAGACGCTGTCCGAGTCACGCTGTCACGTTCTGAACTCATCATTTCGCGTGGGCGCCTCTGATCATTTCATTGACGCGACCTACTACTATCATTGAGGGGGTTCTGCAAAAAGTATCGAATTCGGCCTGTAGCATTCCGCACACTTGACGGATTCTTACCGGATCTTCCGCATATTGTGTGTAACGTAGTGATGAACGTCCTCATTATTTTTGTGCATTTTTATGCAGCCTGTGGAACGAAGGAGAGAGATGCCGGTTCATGTAGGGGGTTCTGCAAAAAGGTGTCACATGCGGTCACAGTGGGATCTCGCCGCGAGCGATGTCACGCTTTTGTCACGACATGGGCCCGGGAGATGTGCAAAGTTGCCTCTCTATCTCGACATGCTCGTTATTTACTCTATCGGGCTGGTGTATTGTACTATAGACAGCGTATTCATGATACGCCAAGCCATTCCACTGCAGTCCGTTGAGAGCATCACGAGAGATCTAGTGGACACTGTTTCTTTCCCATGGCCTACAGGACCCATTTTCTCTCCCTCTCTTCAACCACAGCAGACATTCCCATTCTGACTTGGCAGAGGTTCTATTCTAGTGTATATATACCTGCCTGAGCTTACCCAACATTTTTTGGTTGAGTGTGGAATGAGATATAAGGGGGTGAGGGGGTTCTGCAAATTTTGCAGAACCCCCTCAATGATAGTAGTACTACGTCCGAGTCGTGAGTCAAAGGCCGGCATCGGACACGCTTACGTCGAGTCATCCCAAGTTTAACTTGAGTTGAAGCTTGACTTAGGGTGTGAGTGGCTTCGGCTGATCAATGTGTGCCCCGAGTAATCCCATTGCTGTTCTTCCTCGCTACGAGTATCTTCATTCTCTCTTGTCCGGGTCATGATAGCCAGCGAAGAAACGCCTCTGATATCTTCAGCTGAAGATCCTGTCGTACAATCTGAAACAGATGACATCTTTCAGCGTTTCACCCCAGGCAAGAAACGAGCCATCCTGGCTCTAGTATCCTGGTCGGGACTGCTACCCTGTACTGAATCACCTCATCATGCGTGTCCAGCCAATCCCTCTGAACAGCTCTCTAGTTTTTGTCACTGGCTCGTTCGTGCCAACTATTCCTCAAATCGCCGAGGAGTTTAATTCATCAGGCTCTGTTATAAAGTGAGGTTATTCAATGTCCTTTGTAGCTCGCAGCTGACCGATTCTTGTAGTTTATCCGTAAGCTTCGCCTTGCTTATGCTTGCCCTCGGAAACCTCATCTGGGCGCGTTACTCAAGCTTCTGTAAGTGTAGTACATGCACCGGTCCGGCAAGGACTGACTTGGGCATCTCTTAGATGGACGAAGACCAATTTTGGTATATTCGCTCCCGCTACTTTGTTTCTCGGCGTTGGGCGTAGCTATTGCTAGAAGTGTCCCCGAGCTGATTCTGTGGCGAATGCTGCAAGCCTTCGCAGCGTCCGCCGGAATGTCGGTCGGCGCCGCGGTGATCGGTGACATATATCGGCTCGAGCAGCGTGGTACTGCAATGGGAGTGTTTTTTGCCGTGCGTACGGTCTTTTCCTGATCTGCTTGTGAATGAGCATGTTGGTAATTTCGGCTGATTGCGCGGGCAGTCATGTTGCCTCGGTCCAGCATTAGCCCCGTTCTGCGGCGGCCTGGCAGCTTACTACGCTTCCTGGCGAGCTATGCAATACGCCTTGTTCATAAGTGCTGGGCTGGCCTTTCTGTTCATGTACGCGTTTCTGCCAGAAACGGCCCATCCTGGTACCACGGGTCTCCAACATCATCTGCGGGACCAAGGTTGCTGTGACTTGAACTGGAAGTGGGTATGGTTAAATCCTCTCAGCTCATTACGGTATATAAGGTCTCCCAATATCCTGGCTGTGGTAAGTGGTTGATCACTCTGCATACCACATCTGATTATCGAGCGGGGTAGACTCTGGCTTGCGCTTTCACCTTGATTACAGATTATGGTTAGTCTTTTACCGGCATGATCAAAGGCTTGAAGTCTCACTGGATATAGTTTTGTTGATTCCTCTATCATATACAATTGTGAGATCGTCCTTTTCAAAGGTGGTATCCTGTTGATGGACTCGGACAAAGGGCGCGCACTACCACATAAAAAACGAGGCTATCATCGGCGCTTTCTTCCTTCCGGCAGGACTGGGTAACATTGGTGCGTTCCCCTTATGGCTACTCTGGGTAGATGATCCTGACTGGCAAGCAGTTGGGTCCCCACTGGCTGGATACATGTCGGACAAAATTATCGTTAAATGGCGAGTTAAACGAAACGGTGAATGGCTGCCCGAAGACCGCTTGAGGGCAGCGATCCCTGGGCTTCTCGTTCTCGCTCCTCTTTCCATCATCGTCAGCGGCCTGATCACGGAGAATATACCCGGACTGCCAGGAATCATTCTCAATCTCTTCTGCCTGTTTATCAACGGCGTTGGGGTGCGCTTTCAATCACGAGGATATCAGGTCGATTCGAGTTGACGGACGTATGTCTACCTAGATCGACACCGTCTTTAGTCCCTGTTCGGCATATTTCGTAGACTTGCTGCATTCGCGCAGTGCAGAAGTAATGGCGGCGTCCATGTGTGTTGACCCGAGTTTGCACCCTTTCAGTACTGATACCGTTCTCGCTCTAGGGGCGTGCGAGCGGCCGTACTTGCTGTAGCTTCAGCGTGCGTTTTGCCCCTGATCAATATGATCGGAGTAGCTACGACAAACACGATATTCGCCTGTTTCGCCTGGATTGGTTTCGGGTGCGTGCTTACATATTGAACACGGCTAGCGATACTAAGTGCTTCAATGCTGATTTTGCACGCGCAGGCTCCTATGGTTCACGATAAAGTATGGTGACAGAATGAGAGTTTGGGTGGATGTCGGGTATACACCAACCCATGATAGCTGACCATCTCGGCACTTATAATATAGCACACTTGAGGGACTCGGGGCAAATTGGGAAAGTTCCATGCGCTCGAGCCTTGTCGTGACCAGGTCGAGTCTCCGCTAGAAACAAGGATTGTCCCAATCAATCAAGCATATCTTGAATGGTAGATACTGGCAGCGTCGGACGTTACAGCTGTGGGTGGCAATACCGAAGCAACCTCGCCGCAATCTACTACCGCGAACATATTGCGCATGCGTACTCGTGAGTGCCTCCCGGAGCGGAGCGCGGCTGGTATCATCAATGGAGCACAGACATATCCAATATCGTCGCGGCAATGCAGATCGTTATTCGAGCTTCAACACCACAAGGACGGACATGGATATCCAAGCTATGGGCGCCTGCAGACCTCATCACTTCACCGAAAGCTTGATCAGGCTTGACCACGACGACAGATCCAGTGAAGTAGTTTCGAACTACACAGGTTCTCTGCCATAATTCTACCACTGTCCATATCACAGTCATTCGCAGTTCGATTCTACTACTAGCCCTTCTCTAGAAATTAAATCCACCCAGAAGTTGGACCATTTTTCTGGATTCCGATGCCGACATACTTTGTAGGTGGCCTTCTGAATTGATCGCCTGTCGACATGCAACGGATGCAAACGACTGTAACCAGCTACGGAATCAAAAAGTTTATTCACTCTGCGTCTCACATGCGAATTTCTCGGACTTGGGAGGGCCGCCTGCGAAACGTACACTGCTTCAACCACAGGTTTCGCTTAGATGTCGCTTATAATGGTCTTCGAAGCCATTGCTGTAAGACCAGGAGGTGACAGACCCCAGAATGTCCCTTATGAGCTTTCTGCCGCTGGTCCCACTGGGTCTGTTTAGCGCTACGCTTCTACTCTCCTATGTGCCTGGTGGAAGTGCATCCTTGACTTCGAATCTGGACACGCGGGCCGGTAACAGCAGCAGCATCCAGTGGGGATCCTGCGGGGAAAGCCACGACGGTTTCCAATGTGCCAACGTTTCTGTACCTCTTGATTATAGCAATGCAAGTGATACAAGAACAATCAGCATATACGTCGCACGACTTCCGGCGTCGAACACCACACACAGGCAAGTGCTCTGTTGCTGTTCTGTTGTGCGGAAAGTGCTAAATGACTTTGGTCCAGGCTGGGGAGCCTCTTCATAAATCCCGGAGGGCCAGGTGGGCCTGCAATGAAGCTTTGACATCTATATGCTTACAGGCCCTGCTAGGCGGATCTGGTTCCGAATTTGCCTTCGACAGCGGACCAAATATCTCAACGGTCCTCAGAGGTACCTTATTCCCGTCTTCACCAAGCACTCCTTTGCATGCCTGACTATAGTATATTGTTAAGGCCAGTACGACATAATTGGATTTGACCCTCGCGGGGTCATGTCGTCTCAACCCTACATCTCCTGTTTCAGCAGCCGGTTGGAACAGAACATATGGCTCCGTACAGTCCGTAGCATGACGCTGAACCTGCCGTCCACCATAGCACCAGAAGTCGTTGATGATCTCACAAGGCAGTTTACTACCCTCGGAGCCAGCGTCTCCTCGATGTCGGCTCAGTGCTACGACAGAGTCGGAGACTTTATGCGTTTTGTAGGTCAGGGCGCCATGCTCGCGCATGGAGAGTAGTCGTTTAAACTGCATTCATAGGTACTGAAGCTGTGGTGCATGACATCGACTTCATGTCGAAAGCGTTCGATGGCGACGACGCGCCTGTCAACTGTCAGTTCTAGATCTTGTTCATACCATCCGTCTAATTCCACATGCTCATACCCACTCCGACAGACTTTGGCACGTCTTATGGGTCTCTGCTTGGGCAGTACCTAGTGCAGATCCTCCCTCCAGAACGCATCGGCCGCGTCGGCATTGACGGAATCCTTGACCCGGAACAGTGGTCCAAAGAATCCACGCCGCTCTCCCGTAAGACTCAATTTCCTCTACGAAGCCCCATCAAGAGATATGCACTAAACCCCCACAGAAACCCGCGAAGTCGGCCCCATCCTGCAGCACTTCGCCGACACCTGCGCCTCCGCCGGGTCCGCCTGCGCGCTCGCGCCCCTCTCCTCCACACGGATCCTCGCCCAGATCAACCGCACGCTCGACAGCTTGTACGCCGCGCCGCCGCGCGTCACCACGCTCGTCTACCCCGCGTACATGGATGCGGGCATCCTGCGCAGCGTGCTGTTCAACGGGCTGTACAACACGCAGGACTGGCCTGTCCTAGCAGAGCTGCTGGCCGAGGCGTTTGCGGGGAACTACACGCGAATATTGCGCGGCCGTCTGCCCGCGGTCGACCCCGCGGACGGGGCGCGCCCGGACACGTCGCTCGCGGCGGAGCTCGCCATCGCAGTGAGTGTCCCTCTCCACACATACAATCATGAATAATGTTTTACTCACACCACGCAGTGCAACGACGCGGCCCCAGTGAGCGCCTCAGATCCCGCGACGGTCGCGCGGCAGAAGGCGGAGCAGATCGCACAGGCGCTGGAACAAAATTCGCCGCAGGTGGGCGAGAGCCCGTTCGCGGTTGACCTGTGCGCGTACCTGCCCGAGGTGCAGCCCTCGCGCAGCCGGTACGGCGGCGCGTTCGGATTCGCGAACGGCACGCTGCACACGCCGATTTTGATCCTCAGGTCCGTCTCGTTACTCGTTCGTTATCCATCTCATTTATCCCGGCTAATATGCGTTTTCCTTTTCGTTGTGCGTGCGTGCATATAGCCAGACGTACGACCCCGTCACCCCATTCTCGAACGCGCTGAGCAGCCTTGAACGGCTGGGGAGCAACGCGCGGCTCATCCAGCAGGCGGGCGGGTACGGGCACACGGTGCTCGCGCAGCTGTCGGACTGCGCGGCGGGGCTGCTGCAGGCGTACTTCGTGGATGGCGCTGTGCCGGAGAGCAGCCATACGGTTTGTCAGGTTGATGAGCAGCCATTCGGCGCATAGGGCGGGGTGGGCGGGGCTGGAATGCATGGGGGGGGGGGCAAAATGGCCATATGACGGACGTTGTCAACGGGCAGCAGAGGCTGGCGGCGAATTGCATATTCAAAATCTCACTTACTCAATGGGACTGCTGGTGTCTGAACGCAGCATGTCCGCACATGCAAGACGCTTTGACAAGAGAATGAGAGAGCGTGTCCGATACTCCGTCAGACACAGCATGAAGTGAGTGCCTCTGGCAGACAGCAGCCATGATGAAACGCAGGTGTCACCTCTCTGTGATCCGAATGCGCAACCCATTTACCGCGAGCGGAGTGGAGGACGGCGAAATCGGCGCACAGGTTCGGCTGCGGGTCGCGGTCAGATAGCAAAGTTTGTCCAGTTGTTGTGGGCAATGGCGCGTGATGCAAACGAGAAAAACGCTACTGTTTCTATGCGTCGAACAGTGGATCTTTCAGGTGCACACCAGACATTAGGGGTTGAGGTTGTCGGGACACTGACGCGGTAGATATCTGCGTAAGTCTCTCGGCGGTCACGAATACGGTAAACTCAGCATAGCTTCACGCGTACGTAGCCTGTCCTGAGGTTGCAACGCAAGCAGGGAACAGGCAAGTGCGGTCATGATTGCTGTTACATCCTCTCACACGCTGCTGGTATACGGGTCAAGCCTGTCCTTCGAACCTAAACACCTCCTCCAGCTCCTGCTAGCCCGTCAGTCCCCCCTCCCTCCAGTGAGACGCACAAAACCCACTTACCGTCCACCACGGCACCTCCCCTGCGCTCCCCGTCGCGCCCTCATTGAAACTCTCCTGCATCCCGTCCGTGACCTTCCACCACCGCTGCGTCTCGGGGTCCGCCGCGATGCCTGCCATATCCTTCGCATAGTCCTCACCGGTGTACTTGAAGGTGGCGACGAGGAGGTTGAGCGGCGGGTAGTGGTAGATGGAGTAGTCGGCGATATGGTGCCGCTGCAGCGCGGCGAGAACGCCGGGCCAGACGGCGGCGTGGAGGGCCTTGTATTCGGCGACGGACTCCGGTTTGAGCTAGGAAGGGACTTGGGTTAGAAGGAAAGCAGATGGGGGGAAGGGGGGTCGTGCCTTTATAATTTGGCAAACACGTTTGGAATGCGAGATGGACATGGCAGCGCGGTCTCTCGTCGGGATTTACAGTGAGGATGTATAGTTTGGAACTTAGGGGGCTCAGTGCAGACTGGGAGGCTTATATGCTCTCGAGACTCGAGCATCGTCGTGACCAGCAGCAGCGGACCGATGCTCCGCTGGAGAATTCAGAAGACAAACAAGCCAGATACATCCGTCAGAGTCAGGCGGTACTCACAAATCTTATTCTGAATCAACCTCGAGGTATTATCTGACACCTAAAGCAACGTCGAATGTAACAGTTGTGGACGGTACGAGAGCTGCCTGTCCTCGTATACCGAGTACGGGTGTGTATGCGTACTTGCGCTCGATTGTCTCCCAGAGACAGAGCGGAGAACTCGCAACGTCCATCCAACGTAGATAAATTCAATGTCGTTGCAGAGAAACAAACCATTATTCGAGCTTCCAACATCCAAGGATAGAGATCCAAGTGACAGCCTCGAGCTCGTCGCCAAAGCTCGAGGACGACAAGTCATTTCGAACTCCGCCCCAGCTACAGCAGTCGACGTCCACGAAACCCATCACCAGCCCCGCACCAATACTTCCGCCCTCTCCTCCTCGTCCCTGTCCTGTCTCTTCCCCTGTTCATCCTTGCTGCAGCACTTTGTCTCGTTTCTTGTAATCAATTGACGCAACAATGGCCGAGGGAAGCAACTACGATTACTTGTTCAAGGTGTGCACGCGTTCCGAGTTCAGTAGGGTGACACGGCGTCTCATGTCCTGTCTGCGCTCAGGTCGTCCTGATTGGAGACTCTGGTGTCGGAAAATCGTGAGTGCTCTCCTATACACCTACTGCAGAATGGTCCTCTGACACACGCATGCCTTGTAGCAACCGTATGTCTTCCGCGACCCAATGACGGGATGAAGGATTGATGTATGACGGGACAGTGCTCTCGCGGTTCACGCGCAACGAATTCAACCTCGAGACAAAGTCGACCATCGGCGTCGAGTTCGCGACCCGATCGATAAACGTCAACGGCAAGGTCGTCAAGGCGCAGATCTGGGATACCGGTGCGTAGCGTCCCTTCCCCCACCCCTCTCGTTCCCTCTCGTTCCCGCTATGGTCCTGTCTCATCTGACCTCCTTTTCGTTCTACAGCGGGCCAGGAGCGCTACCGCGCCATCACAGCAGCGTCAGTACCTCTTCCTCTTATCCCTCCCTCATCCCCTTCTTCTTCTTCTGTCCTATCCCTCCTCCCTTCCTGCTACCCTCCCCGCCACCTCCAAACCCCATACTGACCCCATCCCAGCTACTACCGCGGCGCCGTCGGCGCGCTCCTCGTCTACGATATCTCCAAGCACGCGACCTACGTCGACGTCACGCGCTGGCTCAAGGAGCTGCGCGACCACGCGGACTCAAACATCGTCATCATGCTCGTCGGCAACAAGAGCGACTTGAAGCATCTGCGCGCGGTGCCCACCGAGGAGGCGAAGGCGTTCGCCGGTGCGTCCTCTCTCTCCTCCCTTGACTTGTGTGCGTGAATGGGGGCTGATGATGTGGGTTGTGGGTTGTGGGATTAGCGGAGAACGGCCTGTCGTTCATCGAGACTTCGGCGCTGGACGCCTCGAACGTCGAGGCAGCCTTCCAAACCATCCTCACCGGTGCGCTCCCCTCCCCCTTGCTTCCTCACCCCTTTAGTAACCCATCCACCCTTCCCCCAGACATCTACCGCATCGTTTCAAGTAAATCGCTCGAGCAGTCCGCAGATGCCATCAAGGCCCCCACAGGGGACACCATCACCGTCACGCCCAGCGTCGACACCACCCAGCAGCAGGGCGGCAAGTGCTGCTAAGCGCGTTAGACAGCGGAGGGAGATGTGGATAATTTGGTTGTAATAGCTTGGGCCAGCAGGACTGCAGCTACGGTATGTTCTATGTGGATCAGACACATGGTTCGTTGTATATAGGCTATGCTATGTTGCGATTCTACTGTAATAAATTTGGTATTCTTTGGACACTACAACAGCAGAGTATCTCTTACCAAAAGATCCATACTTTGCAATCCTCTCTTCGACAAAACAAAGTGCACGAAAAGCAAAAGGGTTTGTGAGGGGCACGGCCCACTCGCACGACAGACGACTCGTCCTGGTCTCCTAAGACTAACTCGGCGGGTCCAGCAGGTTGCAGAATTGCTTCCCTGGCCTGTCATGGACCGATTATTCCATACTGAGCCACGGCTTCCGCCGCGGCGAGTGATGGTCACCAAGTTTTCTGGAGGGGACGGTCTTGAACTCGGCGCACGAGCGGGGAAACCCGTTGTGACTTCAGACCTCCTCACATTCCCGGTTTGGGCCGCTACAGCCGTTACACCATTGTACATTGAGAAAACAGTGGTGAGATTGCGTTATGTAGCTTTCGTACTTTTACGCACGACACATGCTGCATAATGCGGGCAATCCTCGCGGAGAACGCTCGCCCGCTGGGACACGTTCGTCGAGCACGCTTGCGCTGGACTTCCTGAACATACACCACCATGTCCCTCGTCCCCTTCATCGAGCTCTACCGCTGGGCGCTGCAGCCCGTCGCGCCCTTCGCCTGGTTCGGCCTCAGCATCAGCACGCTCGACCTCGCCGCCGCCTTCCGGCTGTGTATCGTCCTGCGGCAGATACGGGAGGGCCTGAGGGCGCAGCATGTCGCTAAGAACGGCGCCGCGAAGCTAGAGCAGAGGAGCTTTGTGAGAGACGCTGCGAGCACGCTGCTGGTGGTGTACGGCGGGGAGATGCTGATGTGTGAGTGCGCGCCGGCCGTGTATCTTACTAGTGTACGATGATATGGTGTACCCGCTGAACGCGCCTGCCAGGCCCGTACCTCGGGACGCCCCCGTCCTTCATCGTCTCCGGCGTCGTCCCCGTGCTCTACACCGCCATCCAAGCGCTCGTCGAGCGCCTCCCCGCCTCAGCCATCCCCCAGCCGTCCATCCACACAGAGCTTCCGCTCTCGCTCATGGACGGCCTCACGCGCGCCTTCCTCCTCTGCACGCTCATCCCGCCGATGGTCACCGCCAACCCGCACGGCGCGCTCGCCGGCTCGCCATGGACGCTCCTCCTCACCTCCCTAGTACGTGGCGGCATGCGTAAATACCTCCCTAGCCTTCCCTAACGTGATGCCTCCAAGCTCACCGCGAACACAGGGTTCTTCCTGGTCAACCTCGGCTCGCTGCTCGCCCCGACGCCGCTCGCGCTCGCGACGCCGCCCGAGCTGCTCCCGTACGGCTGGACGACGACCGACCTATGGTGTGCACCGCTCGTCACGGGGGTCTACGCCACCCTGACGCACGCGCAGCCCTTCTGGGCGGACGTGCACGCGGTTGCGGCGGGGCTCTTGGACCAGGCGAGCAGCTTGGATGATGGTAAGGTCGCGCCGCTGGATGCGGAGTCCGCGCGGGCGGCGTGCGCGGTGCTCTTGGCGGCCATGTTCGCGACGAGGGCGGTGAAGAACTTTGGTGGTGAGTGGATACAGCAGACGAAGCCTGCCTCTGCGTCCCCTTCGAAAGCCCCGGGTGCGTGCGCCCTTGCATCCTCACCTTGACGCAAATACTGATACTGAAATATCACGGTTAGCTCGTAGATCGAAGAAGCAATAAACTGATGTTATGTATGCGCTGGACGACCCGTTCCTGACGATAGACATGTTTTCTTGTGGATGCTGTCAGGTAATCTTGACCCGGTAAATGTTTCGCATAGAGTAGAGCCCGATGCATATACTCGCCGCATGCAATGTAATCTTGGATTTCACTTACGATTGGATGGGGTCTACATCTTCCCTGAAATTTTGTACATTGGGGGGCTCATCACGAATAGAGGACGCTCCGAGATCGCATGCATAGCTTTCCATGCGTAGAGACACTCCCGGATCCGCATCAATCACCACAACGACACCTCTGGCGGCTGCAGCACACCGCGTATCAGCACGACCAGTCATACCCGTTCTCAGACAACGCGAGACGACGCACCTGCCCCCTCGTCTCGAACGCGAGCCAGTCCCCTGTGCCCGTGGGCAGCAGCCCCATGCTGCGGCACTTCCATAGCCCCAGCGCGAGCGTGAGCACGTTGCACGCGAGGTACGCGACCTTCTGCAGCGGGAGCGTAGTCAGCGCCTTCGGGTCCGTCTTCGCCGGCGCAAACGGCGCGAACGCTATCACAATCCGTTGAGCAAGGGGCTGGGAGGACGGGAACATAGAAGCGAGAGGGGGAGCGCACCGCTGTTGATCGACGCGAGGTTCTTGAACGGGCTGAGCAGGAGCATGAACACGATGCCCATGCTGAAGATCTGCACGCCGCCGCCGGACATGTACAGCATGAACGCCTGCATCGGGAGCGACTTGGCCGGCGCGATCGCCACGTCCCATGCGCGCTTCTCTTTCAGCTGCTCATATGACGAGCTCCTGGCCGACGAGGACTTTGAGGACGTGGATTTACTCTGAGGAGGGGTGAGTGGGAGGAGGAAGGGAGCGGGAGGTGCGTACGCTTGTTGAGGTGGAGGCGAAGCCTGGGGGCGGCGGGAGGTGTCTCCATCTGCGACGACAAGCTATCAGCGCTGCCCGCCGTCAAGAATTCTGTCTCTGCGCTCAGACGTACTTCGAGTTTTCCAGCGACGAGTAGTCCAAGACCATCCCGGAAGTATAGGTAGAAGGTAAGTGGCAACTACCACTACCTGCTGCTATTCCCGATTACCGTGTGAACTTCGAAGGCGAACATACATACATGTCTTCATGCCGCGGCGGACTCGCTCGAAAGACGAATCAAGTTGCAAGAGAGTATATTATAATAAAAACACAAAGAAATGTACCACGGCACACAACATATTTCACATAGGCGGACTGAACTGTGGTGGCTGCGGGACACCTGGAGGCGGTGGAGGCATCATCCCCATACCCTGCGGAGGACCCACCGGCATACCCTGAGGCGGCCCAAAACCGGGCGGAGGAGGCGGCGGATACCCCGCCACGGGGTTGTACACCGGCATATTCGGCGGGGGCGGGGGCATCCCCATCGGCACGCCCATGCCCATCTGCATCGGCGGCGCAATCGTCTGCTGGGGCGTGAACCCGGGCGGGGGCGGCGGCTGCGCGAGCGCGCCCGCGAACTGTCCAGGCTGGTACGGCATGGGCGGGCGCTGGCCGAACGCCAGGGGCGCCGGGGGCGGGCGCGCGGACACGGGCAGCGCGTTATTCTTGCGCGCCTGCGCGGCGAGCAGGCGCTCGGCGGGCGTGCCGTGGCGCTCGCCCTTGCCGTCCTTCTTGAAGGCATACTGCACGGTGATGGCTTTGTTCATGAGGAACTGGCCGTTCATGGACTCGATGGCGGCGTCGGAGGACTCGAAGTCGGTGTAGGAGACAAAGCCGTAGCCTTTTGATTTGCCGGTTTGCGGGTCGCGGGCGATCTGCGAGGCAGGGTGAGGACCGTGGTCAATACGATGGGTGTATGGATACGCACTTTGGCTGTCGTAGCCATAACACCGAACGCGCTGAACGTGTCGTACAGCAACCGTTCGTCCACATTCTCATCCAAGTTTCCAATAAACAAGTTCGCGCCAACATCTAGCTGCTTTTTATCCGACGAAGCCTAGAGCACACAAAAGCAGGTGAGCGAGCGTCCCAACAAAGGTCTGAGAAGAGCGCCGTGAGGGTCCGTGCATGAACGGCGGGCAACGCATGACGAACCTTGTTCACCCGAATGGGTTTGCCCCACAGCTTGATCTGGTTCATGATTTTGCAAGCGTACTCGGCGTCCTCCTCTGTCAGGAACTCGCAGAAGCCGTAGCCTTGGTGCTGCATTGAAATGCGATCCTTTGGCAGATGGACGTTGACTGGATGCTCGCATGAATGAATGCTTGTACGCGTTGACTTGTGCGGGTACTTACCTACCGGACCAGCCTGCAGCATGAGCTCCCATATGAGCGCATCCGTACACCGCTCGTCGAGATTACCCTTGGGACACGATCAGCACCCAATGTCAGGTTTGTAAAGACTTGAACGTACCAAGTACACAGTCGCTTCCTGGTTCCTGTCATCCTGAGGGCGAGACATTATACTCTTATATGGTTACCGTCCGTTGTCAAGAGATTGAAAGACAAGTGGACGGTACACGGGAAGCAGCGTACAAGACCGGTGGCTGCAGAAGTTTCTGGTCACAGCAGGGCTCGAAGAGGCGATTCGAGCGTGAAAGTTGATTACGTCAGCTATTTGCCCCTATTGACGCTGTAGGTGGCGGGAGCGCCCTCGCCGCTCAGCTGTGTGTTGACGCTGTCTGCGATGAGCTCTCTCAAAAGCGCGTATCTGGACCTTCTCGAGCCACAAATCCTTGAAATCTATCTCTTGTATGCCATCACTGCAATACCTGATATCTTGACACAAGTCTCGGTAATACGGAGGACTCAAAAGGACTAGAGCAATGCCCGTGATGATCACCATTCAATGCGCCCCATTCCTGCGTCCTATCTCCCCTCAGCTTGCAGGCGGCACACAGCTTGACACCGGCTACGAACAATCGAATGTTCCATAATATTCAGCTTTATTGAGGGCCAACCGCACCCAGGTCAGCCCGGCTTGACGTGATGCCATGAGGCAGCGTTCATGTTATGATGGCATTCACTGCCGAACAATCCTTTGTGCAACTTCCATGCACCACCCCTGCTCTGACATCTCTAAATTTGACTTGCACCAACCTTGATGTACCTTGCGTCAGTGGAGGACGGGGGCTAGCGCGGCCATATATTAAATCCCTGCGCTCGCTATAGCTAGTCGCTTGCCCCGCGTCCCCAGCGCTAGCTCCCTACTCAGCTATCCGACTGCAGCCTCGAGGATGTATCTTCGCCTGAACAGCCTCCTCCTCGCTGTCCTGTCCCTCTGCCTTTTGGCGGCATCCGCCCCTGTGCCCTCTGGCAGGAGGGTCCTGAAGCAGGCCCGCATCGTCCGCGGGGATCCTGAAGAGTTCGCGCGCAGACAGCTGCGAAGTATGCTATACCTTTTCTACGGTCTACCGCTCTTGGCTTATGGCGCTAACCGTCTTCTTCAGTAGTCTAAACTGCGAGTCTTTCTCATGACGACACCGTCCACGAAACCCACTTTCTTGCAGACTAGACCGGTGGTGAGTCCTTGCGTCACAGCATGGTGCTGGATCGTCCGGGAATTAACCGTTTCTCTCCAGCTTTTCTGGTTCGCGCCTTGTCCGCGGAGTTCCTTGCGATGCCCATTCGCACGGATATATACGATATGTTTGTTCACTACCACGACTCTCCATGACATGAACGGACAAGTGCTATTGCCGAGTAGATCTCGCCTTATTAATGATACGCACGGATGAATGAACGATGTCAGAGTGTAGAACGCCTCTGGCCGCAATGGCATACTCGCTCAAGCTATTAGATTCCGCCCGTGTACCTAATTTCCCAATGGTATGAACTACAAGAGATAAAAGTAGAAAGTACCGGAACACACGACCTGGCTGGGCACTGTTGCTCCGACACACGCATCATCATGCTCAGAAAAAAGAAAGTAAAATGGGCAGTCAGGTAGAGGGTGGGCTGATAAATCCGTCTCTTCAGTAACAAATCAGATGGTACGCAGGCAGAATGCAATGGGATATATGGAAGACCGTGGCGTGATGAAGTGATCGTGAACAGTGGATAGATGAATCCGCGTCGTCGGAGGATCATTAGAGAATGATACATTTATTTCTCTTCTTCACGACCGGGGGTTCAAGCGCAGCAACGATAGCCTGGGGGAGAGAATGGATCTCAGAATTCAGTCACGCGATCGAAAGGAAAGGGTTCCTCACCTCATCGAACACGTTCTTCAACCCCTTCTGCGTGAGGGCAGAACATTCTACATATTTCACAGCACCCAGCTCCCTGGCGAGCCTCTCGCCCTGCTCAGGGGTAACAGGCCTCTGCTTCTGCCTCTGGAGCTTCTCCAGCACCTGAGGGTCGTCCCGCAAGTCGATCTGCGTACCCACTATGAGGCACGGCACTCCGGGACAGTGGTGGTGCACCTCAGGGAACCATTTCTCCTTGACGTTCTCAAACGAGGCGGGCGAGGTCACACTGAAGCAGACCAGGAAGACATCCGTTTGTGGGTAAGACAATGGCCGTAGACGGTCATAATCCTCCTGGCCTGTGAGAGCACAGAGCTGCTGTCAACCTCCGCTCGCACCGCCGCTCAAACGGACCCACCAGCAGTATCGAATAGCCCGAGTGTATAGGGGTCATCGCCGATCATGACCGTCACGGCATAGTTGTCGAAAACCTAGGGATATCCCGCCACGCGCACGTCTACCGACATATTCGCTGCGGAGAGATAGGGACACTCACAGTTGGAACATACTCGCTTGGGAACTTGTTCGTCGTGTACGAGATCAACAGACAAGTCTACATGCGCAGAAGCGTGTTCACGATCTCTGTGCGAAGATACAGGGTCCGGGCGCAAGACACTCACCTTACCCACAGCACCATCCCCAACCACTACGCACTTGATAGTCTGCATGGCCCAGCAGTAACTCTAAAGAATCGATCGTGAAGAATGCTGCTCGGATGGAAATCGGGCGGGTGGTTAGCTCTCGAATCGCTGAAGATGCTGAATGTTTTGCCAGATGGTAAGGAGTATGTGGCAAGCAAGCGTGGTTACCACGCCTAACCGCGGCGGTGCAGGGCGATGATGACGCAGAACCCCTATCATGATGGGTGGGACGCTCACCGTTATATGTAAAAGGGCGACCTAAAGAGCGCGTAGTCGGATGGAGAGGAGGCTGGCCAATTTTTGACAGCTGCAGAGGTCGAACAGTCTATCCCAAGAGGTGGAAGCAGCGTTGTCGTCACTTGTTCTAAGAACGGAAGAACGTCGAGCGGATTACAAATTGGAGACGGGGTGCGACGTACGTGACAGCGAATGTCGAGGCCTGCACGTTGTCGAGAACAGCGAAGACGAGCGGTGTGACTGTCTCGGACGGTCTTGCCTCGAGGACGGTTAACGACAGTTGGGATCATCTCCGTCGGCAACGCATGGTCCGGCGTCGCAAATATTCGCAAACAGCGTGTCGCCGCCCGGCCCCCGCCCGGAAGGCGCAACTTTATTACACGTGTAAATAAAATGGAGACTCAGACTGCAGGCTTCGAGAACGCAACTATCAATACATGTGTGGAATAGGGCGGTGGCTAAAGAGATAAGTTAACAGTAAGACGCAAAGCAGGCATCGCGCAAGCAAGAAGAGTCAAGTAGATTCCCCCTCCACAGGATTAAAATGAGCATTAATCTAAGTCGGACTTCACCCGTTTACGCGGGTCTGAATCTATGACACTTAAGCTCAGTACCCGTAGCGTATAACGATGCTGATTACTTACCACTCAAAGAGTGAGGCCACCAAGTTAGTTGTCCTTGCTTCGTCCCGGTAACCAAGTAGTGCTCGGAAGAAACGACCCTTGAGCCGAAGCTCTGGAGTGCTAGGAGTCAGCAGAGAAAATACCAAAGGCAAAACCAGCTTACGGCAACGGCTTGCACGGTCTCTGCGCGGACGTCAGCGACAGAAGAGACGATGCGGCTCTCAGCTCACCATCTCCATGATCCAAACCGTAAGAAACTTCCGCTCCCATCTTATCCCAGACGAGGACGCATCCGTGGAGGTCACCGAACAGAACCGACTGATCACCATTCGCGAAGATGGCTCCGAAGTCATACAACGTCGCGTTCTGGATCTCAGTGTCTTTGAGCACGTACGCCCGCTCTATTGTGCCCTTTCGGCCGTCCTCTATCCCGACAAGATGACATCGACCGCCATGTTGCGCGACCAAAGCGCTTGTGCCCTGAGAGTCAACATCCAGGTGGTATCTGAAGCGGTCGCTATCATTCGCTATCACATCAGGATGAGACAGCGCAGTGAACCCACACTTTCGATTTGAAGAAGGAATAGGCCCGCAGTGTACCGTTTGGAACTTGGCAGTACCATCTTCGTTATTGGCCAGGTCAGAACAACGAGAAAGAATATAATGGCGAACATACAGTACGCCATCCGTGGTCCCGCCGATTAGTGCGTCGCCGTCTTCGACAAATCGGATTGCCGTGACATTTTGGCGGAGTATGGATCTCTGCGGTTGCCAAGTGCCTGAAATCCCGGTGAGCGGGTCGACGAAGAGTCTCCAGCACAATCCTACCTTTGATCCACAACCATACTTTCACGCCGGTCCTAGGGAAGGCAACTGCTATTCGATCCTTCATATATGCAAGACATGCAGGATCCTCGTCAGGTCTTCCTGCATCCAGAATTTTAGCCCAATGCCATTTATTCTGGCCCTGACATGCGAGGGTCAATGGCGATCGACGCTACACCATCATGCCACTCACTAGCCGTGTCCATTTACTGACAGTACCATTATCACCCAAGGACACGACACCCGCATCATCGTCCATCCAAGCGACAGAGACAACAGGGGCGTTGTGCTTCAAGGATGCCAGTTCTGTATGGCTGTGATTATTCCAGATACGTACGGTTGAGTCCTGGCCTTCAGAGACATGGGTTTACACATTCGTCACGCTTAACTGTGACTACTCACAATTCACCGCAAAGTGGCTGCCGTTGGAATTGAACGTGATACCGCGAATACCAACGTTCTCGTCTCCTTTAACCCGGACCGAGTGTATGCACTCCAGCACAGGCCACTTGAAGGATCTTCTTCGCGCTGGATGCGATTGCGGTTGCTCGTGCGTAGCAATTGAAGCAGACCGTTTAACGCCAATAACAGGACGATTGGGTTCATACTTATGTGGCGCCGGACCTCCGGGTGCCACGGGTTTAGGAGGAAGAGGATGTTTGACGGCGGCTAATAAATTCATTAGAACGTTGGGAGGATAGTACAGCGATGCACCTACCGGTTTGCGACTGAGGAGGAGCCTTATGCCCGGCGGAGGCGACTGAAAAGCAAGCCGGGACTTGTCAGCATTTTGTGAAGAAAGGCGATGCAACGTAAGGATGCACGGGCTTTGCTTCAAGAACCATGGCAAGCTCAGAAAGATAACACCCATTTCTGGCGCTGTCTTGAAAGGAGTATGAGCTTACCTAGCGTCGGCTTGGTAGGACTACCAAGACCAGGGGGGTGATCAAACTCTGCATTTGAGGGTCCGGCACTTGTAAGGCCAGTGAGGGCATTCTCCTCAGGCCGCATCCCCGGCGGCGGACCTAGAGGTTGCTCTTCCAACTTTACCTGTACCGGTAGAGCTGTACGCGTGGACTCGGGGAGTCCAACCTTCACTGCTGAAGGCGAAGGCGACGACTGCGACGAAGGGGCCGCCGAGGATTGTAGGCCATTCGAGACGAATTTCACGGGCGTGGAAGAGATACGGCGAGCCTGCGATGGTCTCGGAGTCGCAACTGGACGGGTTGACCCGTCAGGAGATGGAGACCGGTATGATACAATGCCAGGTAACTGCAATGTTGTAGACGTACTGCTGACCACGGCCTCAGGTAGCGGGTGACGAGGTGAGGATCCGGGAGTGGGCAGGGGTAAAGGAACATTATCAGGGGGTGTGCCTTGCTTGTACGATGTCGCGCTGGTCGTGGTAGTGGAAGGAGAAGGAGTAGGTGAATTCGCTTGGGTGACACTACCTGAACTGTGATGTCGCGTGAAAGGCCAGCCAGCTCCGACGACCACAGGCTTCTTGTTCGTGGAGAAGGCAGCAGGTCCCTTGGGAGGGACTGACTTCTTCGGAGTAACGCCGTTCCATACTGTGGGGCAGACTGATGGTCGGATGCCTAACGGATTTCCGAGAGGCCCAGCAACGGGAGGAAGGGGAGCAACACTAGTGGGTTTCCACTCCGAAGACGAAGGCACTGCCGCCTTTTGATCCGCTGTGACGCTCCCAACCCGCTTATATCCGGGCGGGGGAGTCTGCCACTGGATTGATACATCTGGCACAGGCGGAGGAACTCTAGAAGGAACATGTGGCACATTCATTGGAGATGCTGGTACCCCGCGACCAGTGCTGCCCAGAGGCGGAGGCGGATCTTGCGGACCATCCGGCCTTAGACCGGCGCCCTGAGACATGAGAGACCTCGGACCTGTCGGAGGCGAACGACCGCGTTTCCCTAGTCGCTGCGTAGTATGTGGGGAATCAGTCACTTGCGTCGACTGCAATAATAATCTTATGAAAAAAATATAGTGCCCTATTGAAACGTATTCATCTCACCTGAGTGGGCTTTGGCGGCAAGCCAGCGATTCCTCTAACGAAGGATGGGCTTTGTACGGGTGGTTCAAGCAATTTCTTGGGGAGTGTGGAGGGTGAAGTCGAGATCGAGGGAAGTGAAGGCTGAGCCAAACTAGAGAGATCGGTATCGTGAATAATGTGGGTAGAATTAGTGGTCAGTTGCTTGGGCACAGAACCCGCGCGTGAACTTGCTAAAGAGTCATATGACGCTCGACCAGAAGCATGGACTGTTGGGGACTGAGGAGGCGTGCTAGATGGAGAATCAAGCTCCATGGGGGAAAGACTACGTTGCCGATCAGTACTCTAGATGATTTACACGTCAATATGGGTCACTATGAAAGGCTATCGTACTTACTTCACTCCCATGGGGTGAGCCTGGCGTTGCGTCGGGCTGATTTGCCGAAATGGATGGCTCAGCATCTTCAACAGGAAGATCCTTCAGATCCTTCATAGGCATGGTGCTTTCGTGACCCGAGGCCTGGGCCGTTCTAGAGACAGACAAAGGCGGGACCGGTTGCTCGACTTGAACGGGAGTCGACGCATACGAAGGCGATACCTGGCAGGATACGGTTTGTGTAGAAACTGATGCCTGAATCGACTGTGAATAGCACAGAGGCTGAGTCTGCGTCGCTATGTCCGCATGCTCTGCCTGAACCTGGATCCCCAAAGACGCAAATGTCTTCGCAGCTATGGGATCTGGGTTGGCAGCTGAAGCAAGAGCTAAATTTTCCCTCAGAAAATCACGTATACTCTCGAACGGGACACTGACTCACCTGTACCAGTGCCACCTACCGGACGTGTGCGCCAGGCCTTCCTCATCTTGGGCGGTACTGCCTGTTCCATGGGTTCCTCCGCCCCAGGAAATTCATCCTCCTCACCTGCCCCAGGGACTCCCTCAGCATCGGGCCGCTTCTCGGGCTCTGGTAAGTCGCCCTCGAACACAATGGGCTGATCCCCAAATATCCCATCCGGAAAAGCTAGGAGAATCTCCTTGCCTGGCTTTACCTCAATCCTCTTCGCCGCAAAAAGACTATACCAGACAGTCTTCCGTGGTTGACCATCCTTGTCCACCTCCTCAGTTATCTCGACCTGTCTCAGTACAACATGCGGTTTCTGAGTAGAACCATGCAGGCGGAGGCGTAGATCATCCTTTAGACCAAGGATGGAGGTTACTGTGGGCGCCAAGGAGGGTGTCCCGCCATCGCTACCAATGGTATCGTCCATCAGCGACAGTCGAGGTAACTTGAGTCAGCCTCCGTTGGCAGAAATGAAGCGGTCAGAGCGTTGTGCAGAGGACAAGGATCGTAAAGGCAGGCAGAATATCCTACGAGCACGTGGCGTCACGGTAATTTCCGAATACAGACATCATCAAGGCCTCTGTCACGGTCGCTGTCTGTCAACCACTGGGAGCATACGTACGCCTATTGTGGCAAATGTATCCCTGTTGATTGAGCTACGCTGTCTAATGGGTAGATTTACTCAACCACAGGCCTACAAACATCCACAGTAGGAAGGGCGGAACAGTACAGTGCACATCTAGGACACGGTGGGGAATCTAAGAAACGTACACACAAACGTATGTAGCATCACTCCTTAATCTCAGGAACTCCGTCCTTCCAGCGGACACCAGATGTCTCTGCCACTTCCATCACAATCTGTCTGGCAGCTTTGACCTGCTCTAGCGTCGCTCCGGTTCGACGTGCATTTCCGAGGTGCCAATTTATTTGGCGTGGCGTGTCCACCGATATCAGTGCGGCGACGAGGATGAAGGATGTCTCGAGAGGTGTTGTAACTTCCGTGAACCCGTAGGTGGCTCCGTAGCCTATTGTATTTGAGAACCAGCCTATACGAACTCAGCCATGCACCCTCGCTGCAAGAAGATAATCAACGGAGAGACGAACCCATGTCAGGCAGGATACTGTCCAGTAGTTTCTGTACGGGGTCGGCTGTCTCCCCGTACATTGAACGGAAGAGATTTTCCCCTCTTCTCATATACTCCTCGATGGGAGTCTGGAGATTCCTGTACTCCCGAGCACATAGTCATCGGCATGGTGTCTTAGAGAGGACATACATGTACCTTACCACTCACCGTAAGGGTCGTGTATCGCGGAGTTCCTCCGGCATAGCTTCATGTAACGAAACCATGCTATTGATGGCCTGAGACGCGTTCAGTTATAGATGAGTGGGACTCAGTCCTTGCAACGCACTCGTGGATAGCCTGTCGTGAGTCCAGATTTGAAGAGTGAATCTCGAAACTTCCGTGCAAGTAGCAGCTTCTCATTATGTGCTTGGGCATGGGTCACATTTTCTTTCTTGTGGACGCCTGCCAAATCATCCAGTACGTGTCGGAAGACAGCTGGGACTGACTCAGGTCTGTTGCTGCCGCTAAACCCAACTGTGGTAAGGATATACCATGGGTTGGAGACGACTGGAAGTACATGATCAGCTATGTATCGGAGGCGACTAATTGGGGTCAATATCTACCTTGCATGCCTTTGCTCCCAGCGGAGGCAGCGTGAGGGTATATCGTCTTCAAACGATTCAGGAATGCAGTATTAGCCAGGCTGGCCATTGCGTCCGTTCCTCTCCACCGATCTGTGAGGAAGGAACAAGAACTTGGTAAGGCCGTTCGCGCTCTGAATCATCGCCGAGTGAAGTCCGAGTTCTGGTTGCGGCATCCATCTTTCTCAGATGGGCTTCTTCAGTCTGCGTCACGTGAAGCGGACGGCCTCTAAAGAAACTCGAAAGTCAGGAGCGCAGTGAACCACTGCCCCAGGACCTTCTGCTGTTAACACTCTTAGCCCGGCAAAGTACACTTGAATAAATACATTTTGAAGTTCACAGCAATGCACAGCAAAAGTACAGTTACAAGACAGCGATACAGATCAATCTGACATATGACATGAGGCTACAGTCCATTCAAGATCATTTCTTCTACCATACGTTCATCAGCGGAATCATCTCCAGAAGACAAATCCTCCTCTTCCTCGTGCTTCGGTCCATCACTTTCGGCTTCCACCAGCTTCTTCCTGGCCATCATCGCGAACCCTTCTTCGGTCTCGTCGTCCAAAGGCTTGTGATCCTCATCGACTTCGTCCACATCCTCTGGCGTATCGACTGCCATAGCCTGCGCGCAGGTACATATCTTGGGGAGATACTTGTCGGAGTTCGGATCCTGTAAGATGGAACGCGCCTCTTCTGAGGCTCTGCCCTTCGCCAACGACAGGTTCGCGGCGGATACTGGCCCAACGATGACTACATCGTGGACGACAACCGAGATACTATCGTTGCGTTTCGAGTCCGGATTGCTCGCCGTTTTGCTATAATGCCACATCAGTCAGAGGGCCTCGCCCTCGCGCATCGACGTGGAGCTCACCGATACGACATCTTCCGACAGCCTGCTCGGGCAGTACTGATCATGAGCTCCGAGACAGGGTCCCTAGGTAAGTTAGGCGACAAGACATCTAGAACATCCTCCATCACCGCTTCCGCGATCACCGACGCTCTTTCATAATCATACGCTGAATCGACCAGAATGGCCCCCATGACGCTCTCCAAGACATCGCTCAGCGCCTTGGGCGGGTCGTGCTTCCAACCATTGTTCACAATGTGCTCCGGCGTCGTATCCTCCAGTACGGGCACATACTTGCTGATAGCCATGCTCAGCTCCACATTGTTGACCAGAAGTATCTGATGCAAGGATAGCTTCTTGACAGCAACGGAGGCTAGAGCTGGGGCGCACACGGCACGAGAACGCGCCCAAGACAGTTGGCCCGACGTAGCCTCAGGGAACTTCTTGAAGAGATAATGCATGACGACCAGGTCGATCAAGGCTGGGGCAAGGTAAGGTAGGTTTACGTTACAGCAGCGAGGAGATACTTACCGTCTCCGAGGAACTCTAGGCGTTGATACGAAGAACTGACAGCCGATCGGAAGGACGGGTGGGTAACAGCTTCAACCAACAACTCGCTACGATGGAACTCATAACCCAGCGTATCTTGTAAGGCTGTAAACAGGGGCGGTACGGGTGTCGACAGCGGGTGGCGGCTGTATCGCAGAGTCCACGGTAGAGGTCCACCGAGGCAGAGTCCCAGAGCAGTACCTGTCTGGAGAGCCATCGGTATTCCTCCCATTCTGAAACCCGCGCCTAACGTCGCCTCCATGCAATCTTGCAAGCTCCTCCTGGGATATCTTCGCGGCGAACTTCGTATAACATGTCCTTCTGGCATAGAACTTAAACCTTCAGCGAGCGTGTACCTCCATGTCCTCAAGCTTTGCGTCTCGCCCGTCAAGAAATGCTCGAGCCCGTTCTCTTTCGCGCGAGCAAGCAGAGTCCGATTCGAGACCGAGTTCCTTCGTAGTATATCAAGTTGGCCTTCATGCCGGTGAGGGAACTTATTGAACAGATGGACCACCGTACAAAGCTTCAGTACGGAATCACCCAGAGTCTCCAGCCTTTGATTGCTGAAGCCCGTGTTGGCACTTGGGAGGGTATAGGCTTCCACGAGCAAATCGGTTCCTATGGCAGGCAAACCTAGCTCGAAACGCGCCCTCCCAGCGCGGTAGACGTCGGTGATTCTGTGGAGTACTTTCGGCAGGACGTGGAAGGTCCTGTAGATGTCTTCAGATAGGCCGATCCATCGACATAGACTTTGTGGCAGGAATTGAGCGTTCGGGACATTGGCTACCGGCTTGTCGTCTTCTTGACCTAGAGAATGAAGCGCGTAAAGGCCAGACGAGTGCCTGGGGAAGGGCTGCACTTCGAGCAGAGGTCCGTCTTCAGGAACCTCAGGCGGAATGCCTTTCCTAGTGTATAGATGAAGTACATAATCTCGGTAAGTTGGAAAGCAGCCTTCCCTGGAGCCTTTGGGGGGCTTTGACATAGGCGTCAAATCACGACGCACACGCCTCAACAGAAGTGGGCGTCCGTGGTCCTTGCTGTTCACGACCATCAATCGACCGTGGTGTTCTTCGGTGATAATGGTCCAGTCAGGGTTTCCCCACGGAAAGAGTGCGGCGTGCTCCATGGCGCACCAATCAGGTTGACTCTGCGTCTCCCTGAGAGGTACTAAGAAGACCGAAAGCGGATTTTGGATAGCTCGTCCCGTAATACACCACCATATCCCCATCTTCGTATAGGTCTGCAGCAACTCCCGCTGTCGTTGTTCATCATCGAATATCACCCGCATCGCCCTGTGTACACGGATCTCGTGGCCATTGCACATCATGACCTCCAGCGGCAGCTGCGTCCCTGTCACCAGGCCCGCAGTCCGCTTGCCATCCAGAGTGATAACGTGCAACCACATCTTCTGGTGGATAACGAAAGGATCGCGCACCATCACGTCCATAGTCTCCGGAACATCACTGACGTCCAGGATGGGGCGTCCATCAGCATCTTCGGTATCAGCACCGCTAGAACTCTTCGCGGGAAGAAGGTAGTCGTCGAACACATTCAAGCGGTGTAATTGCATGACTGCCATGAAAGCTACCGCGCGCTTCGCCTCCTTTTTCGATCGTTTCATAGGGCCAACGTACGTCAGCTTGTCGGACGGCAATGGCAAAGAAAGCGGAAGCTCCAAAGTGGACTGGAAGTCGCCCGAGTACTTCGGCAGGTGAACGGGCGTAAAACGATCGCGCGGGATTAAGGAGCAGAGATGATTGAGAAGACTTATAGCAGAATTGTAAGTCAGGATGGCACCCGTCGACGGTACGACGTATCGTTCTCTCTCCGCGAGATCAGCTGGGTCTGCACCGTCGTCTTCATCATCCTCCTCAACCGTTGACTTCTGTATAACGGGATCGGCACGCTGGTAGACACGCTTTAACTCGGGCTCGCTCTCGACGAACGCGCGGTACCGAGCCAAGTCGGCGGCGTGATTCTCTTGGACCATGATGACGAACGTCGAGGTTTGATGGCGGGCCCGACCACGGGACTGCACGTAGCCAACCATATGCTGTATAGGATCGAACCGAACGACGACATCGCAAGCCTACACCAAAGACTCAGAGAGAGCTACCTGAAGGCGGATTGCGAGGGACAAACCGGGAAATCCAAGCCCTCTTCAGCGACAGACGTGGCGATGACTTTGAGAAGCATGTGCCGTCAGTTCCGGCGAGGATCAGAGAAGGCCGCGAACTTACGTAGGTTCACTTCCTTTTCTCGAAACGATTTCACAACATCTTGTTGGGTCTTCAGCGCCATGCCCTTCAGCTGCGACTTGGCCACGCTCGTTGCACCATGTCCTATGAGCTCAGCACTCTTAATGAAGCCTTGGAGATAGGGGACTCGAAGCAGGACCTTTGCCAAGCAGGCTGCTACATGACGCTGCTCAACAAAGATGATGCCCTGGAAGGTCTGGGTATAGTGCTTTACGAGGAGGTCGACGAGGACCTTAAACTTGGGCGAACACCACTCCAGGCTGAAAGGTACACGGAACTTCGTCAAATCAGAATCGTCCTCTCCGAAAAATGCGGTGTAATCGCAGAGGACGGCGCCGATTTGACGGAGCTCGGGCTCAAACTGGATTGCGTACGCGTTGTCCAAGCCGTCGACGTCCATGCCGGAGTAGTCTAGACCCCCGTTGTATTCATGTCCGTTCGTTTGATCCACGAGTAGGACGAGGCGTTGCTTCATCTCCGAGTACAAGTATAGCTCGGCCCCGTACGGACCCAAGCTGTGGTATGTGACCGCGTACCTAGTCTGAATCTTATCCCATGGGATTTCCATCTCATCGGGTAAGTTCAAGACCTGAAGGCGATTCCACAAGGTAGGAGTAGGATATGATTCGTAAACTTCAGGGGAGGGAGGATAGGGTTGGATGATCTTATCGCGAGATCAGGAACGAGGGGGGACCCACAGTCAACGGCAGGCACATACCTCTTTTGGACGCGGGGAGTGGTCCAACAACTCGCTGACATGTTCGCGAACGGCGATCACTTTCGCGTCCATGTTTCTCTCGAGCGTGGCGAGCGACTCTACGGCGTCCTTGGGGTTCCAGATAGGGGAAGCTGTCATTCCGAAAATCTTGGGTCTGAGAGGACTGGGGCACTGGAAGTACTCCCGCATAATTCCGTTGTACGCGTGGTTTTTGCGACAATGATGACATTCGTCAAAGACCAAGAGAGAAACCTAAAGTGACTGGCATTAGCTTCCCGATCCAGATCTGCTACAGAGAACGAGATCTTACTTTCTCCATGCTCCAGTGTGAGTGCGTGAGGATGTTGAGGAAAATCTGAGCTAGACAACAAAGTTAGAATGCGCAGTTAGAAGTCGATAGCGGTAACTTACCGGTCATTACCAGCACGTCCGAATTGTCAAACTCTTTCTTCCACCGCCCTCGGTCGGACAAGTCTATCGCCATTGCGCCATAGCATTTCGTAACACGTAGAGGAGTCTGCTTTGATATAAAATTTCCTTGCTGCTCTACCAACGCCACTTTCGGGACCAGAAAGACGATCACCTTCCCTTGCCCAAAGTCCCTGGCTGCGATCCACTTTATGAGCAAGGTACTGATGAACGTCTTACCGCTGCCCGTGTCCAAAGCCGCAATAACGTTGCCCTCCTGCGCGCGACAGAAGATTTCCTCCTGATATCGCCGAGGCAGGAGGCTCTCGTTGACCTCCTCCATTGTTGTCGGTAATCCGTTCACGAGCTGCATTACTGACAACAATAGCCTGATATACTAGCGTTCGCGTGGGGGGATGAATATTCATCGCAACGCTGGCATATCAGGGGCCATATAAGGCGGAAATCTGTCTCGGACGAAGTACCAGGGACGAGTGTAGGAGGAAAATAAACACAAGAGCTGTCCGACAAGTACTGGTCAATGCTGAGTCACAGCGTGACCCCTATCACGCTTCCGCGCAGTTGTCGCGTGTCGAGCCGGCTAAAGCAGTTGCGCTTCTCGTCCGAAACAAAAGCTTGTAGTCTCTGCAATGGCCGTCAATCCCAACGAAGACACTGAATTGTAAGCCGGTCGTGACTCTAGACAAGGCCAATCTCGCAGACACACTATGCAGTAACGATGCTTTGCGGAAGCACGGCATCCTACCGCCGAGAGAGCCGACGCCTCCGTCGCCTTCACCTCCTCCATCCCCTACCTTGAGTGAGAAAATAGATGATCTATCCGACTCCGAGCTGAAGGATCTGGGGGAGGATATGAACGATGAAGAAACCGGCAGGCTGATCGAGAAGATGAGACGGCAGCGGATTGCGGAAATACAGCGGCAGGCGAAGAAAGCCAGGTTCGGGAGAGTGTACCCCATAGGACGAGACGACTATACACGAGAGGTGACGGAAGCTAGCAAGGAGGATGAAGAGGGCGACACGGAGGGAAAGGGTACGGGAGTCGTTTGTTTTCTCTATAAGGATGGGTAAGTTGCTCCTCGTCCTTGCGGCCTTTGTTCCTTGTCAATGCCATCATGTGCCTGGCATTTATCTGCATGTCTCGGCTACTATTCATCATACTCATACTCGTATAGCATTCCCCGCAGCGACCGTACCTTTGAACATATTCGTAATCTGGCTAGGCGATATCCGCGCACAAAATTTGTGTCCATCGTCGGGGATAAATGCATTCCCAACCTGCCCGACTCTCGGATACCTATGCTTATAGTATATAAGAAAGGCCAGATTATCAACCAGATAATTGCTTGGGCTGCCGATAAGGAGCGCCGACTGGAGGGTAGTGTTGACATCCCATGCTCCTTTGTATCCGCTCACCATGTGTTCAACAGAACTGGAAGCTATATTGATGCTTTGCGGAGCGATCATCCCCGAGCTACCCTCAGCAGAGGAGAAGCACAAGGACGACAAGGGTTCAGACGCTGAAGATGAGGACGACGATGACGACGATGGACCTTCGTCCAGAATGAAGTCTCGAGTAACAATGACCAACAAGTCCTCGAAGAACGTACGAAGGCAGGAGGAAGATTCCGACTCGGATTTTGATCTATAGAATCAGCTAAACCTGGTTCTACAAGGCTCAACATTGTTTGGACGTACTAATATCCGCCGTGTGAAGCAGTAATTGTAGCATTATTCTTATGAAGCAGTGGACTTGTCTCAGTGGTTGGCACTGCTTGCAGATCAGCTTGTGGCTCGTTCGGACTTCCTACGCCATTCAAACTCCCATGGAATCGTGACGATAGCAATACATACATAAGTCAAAGCATGACAACAGTCTAGAAGGTACGTAGGTACGCGGTGAGGAGCCGTGATATCTTACTCCGCAGCCTCCTCAGCATTTTCTTCGCCGTCGCCGTTTTCCTTGGCCTCCTCAGCGGCCTCCTCTTTGGCTTCCTCGGCCTCCTTTTCTTCCTTGTCCTCGTCACCGCCCGCGCCCTTGCTCCCGAGGACAGTAGCATTGATCCTATGGTACCGATGAAGGAATGCATCAAAGCATAAATCTGATATTACTCACGTTAACTGGACGTGCACCTTCTCCTTTTCGCCTCCCCCCTCGGGATTTGAAATCTCTACCTGTATCCGCTTGTTGCCCTTCCAGCCATAGCTTCCGGTGGCAAATACGCTGGGGACCAGGGTGATGGAACCGAGGGAGCCTGGGTCGGCCGCAGTGGCGGGCACGGTGTTCTTGTCGGCGACAGATGGGGGAGTGTGGGTTATGTTGACATGCAATGGCAGCGCGTTGGCCTTGAATGTGTTGGCAGCCATGTTCGCCTACGCACGATGATCAGCCCACGGATCCCGTGCGACTGGTTCGGAGGGACATACCTTTGGGCCGCCTCTCTTCCCGCCCTTGGATTTTCCTGCTGCAGCACCGTCGCCGGTCTTAGCAGCTTTGCTGGCCCGCGTAGTGGGGCCGGATCCTTCCTCGGCGGCGGCGCGCTTACGACCTGTCCAGCCACTACCGTTGTCAACGTTCCACAGACCAAAAGAACGTATGTACGTACCACCGACCATTCTTCGTCAAGTTGATGAGAGAGCAAAAGTAAGTTACGGGGGGAAATGCGGGAGCGATATTTGGGGTGACGCTTTTATAGGATTAGTGGTTCAAAGCGGCGGCAGATGACAGGGTTCGAAAGTCCCCAGTTGCTATTTCGCGACATCGCCCCTAACAACGCGTCCGTGACGTCACGCGTCCAGGCGCGTCAACTGCAGTCACGCTTAGAGCTCAGTGAAATACCCTGAGTTCTTGGCAGCGGTTAATAACAAGCTGTAATTAACAGGTTAATTACTTGTCAATATCTCAGGGTCGGATTTCCCTTGGTTAATTACCCTGAACCGGGTATTCGGGATATGGTTGTCCAAGGAGACTCTGGGCAGTGTCGGGGTGTATCTGGTGTTTCGTGAGCGACTACAAGCCACTCTGCGGAGGACGAGACAGTTATGCCACCTACTGTCCAGGCAATGAGGTTGTTTTCGTCGTGTGCTAAGCCTGGTCTCTCACGCTGCTCGATGACTTGTTCCTCACAAGTACTGCTCCTATGAAGGCTTTCAAGTGCTCCAAAGAGAGCATGTCTCTACATTTATTGAGGCCTTAGGGATGTGTTTTACGAGTACCGACTCGAATGTACTGTCGAGGACACGGAATGTGGCCAAATGTGTCCTTTCGGTTATTGACAATGTTAATTACATGTTAATAACTACAATTTTTGTTAATAACGTTGATAACGCTGTCGAGAACTTGAACCCAGTGGAGAGTAATTCACCGAGCTCTAGTCACGCTCATTGTTGTGTCTGAGAGACTTGCTTTTTCCGATGACTTCCCATCGTCTCCCAGCGTACATTGAACATGCATCATGTCAGAGTCAGTAAATAGCGACAGAATGCTACCTAGATGAATCCAAGCAGCTCCTGCAGCTTGACGAAATCCGGCGTCCCGAGTCCCGTAATTGCGTCCCAACCTTCTGTGGCGTTGAATCCGGTTGTCCCACATCCCGGGTTGTTTCCCAGCAGGATATCAGTGAAGCCTGAAAACGTATCAGCCGATGTATGGCCCAGACAGAAGAGGCTTACCAGATACACCAATAGAATAGAGCAACGGATTCAACCATCCCAGGGAAGGACGACCGTTCGCGATGCGGTAGTCGTTCAAAAGCGAGACAATACTTGCGAACGTCGGAGAGCTGGCGGAAGTACCGCCCACCGATTCTACCTGACCTCCAACGACAACTTGGAATCTACGCGGAGTTCAGACAAGATGAAAACCTCGAGCTGCGGGGCACGCCTACCCGTAGCCTTGCGCGCTGACATCGGGGACTGCACGACCAGAAAGACTACGTGGAGCGGGAGGGGAAGTCAGAGATGCTTTTGTATGCTAACAAGGCGATACTCACTTGTACAGACCAGCGTAGGTTGTTCCGAGCTTCGCCAAGAAAGGCGGTACTGCAGCAGCTTGCCAAACGGGTCGGTCGAAGTATCTCGAGAATCCGCCTTGCGAGAAATAAATGCCTTTCTCTGGGGCGATTTGGTACGTCGCGCCGACCTACACCTGGCTGTTAATATTGCACGCAGCAAGGCTAACCGAATACAAACCCCGGTGATGTACGGGCATGTAGCAGGAAAAACCTTGCTCGGATTCAGACCTTCTCCCTAAGAGTATACGACAAGGCTTACTGGTTGGAACAGCGTCCTATTTGTACCATCATTTGTCTCACATGTACCCGCCCCTACCTATTAATGGATAGTCGGTGAGGTCCTCGCAGCGAAGTGGCAAGGGTGACTTACGCCACCATCACCGCTGGAGAATATGACCGAGCTGCCTCTGGCTGCCAGCTGGGCGAACATACCACAAACCCGCGTAATCGGATGTTCAATTACGGATGAACGAGTACGGAAAGGAGAAGGACACGTACACTGCCCATTCATAGGGGAACGTCTGTCTTATGCAATGAATGAGATGTGTGTACGTAGCGTCCTATGATGGAACCGATACTCACTCGTCACCTCCATAACTTGTCGTAAATACCTGCGGGACCTCCTCATCAGGCAACGCCAGCACATAGTTCAGCCAGTCCAGATACGGTTCATCACGCTGGGGAGGCGTCACGGAGTCATTGATAGTCGGCGCCGTTCCAGGGGTGGAGTAGTAATAGTTCGGGGTGGGATATGTCAGGCCTTCGGTGTACTGTACGTCGAGGTCGGCTTCTGTTCCGGGCAGGCTTTGGTCATTCAGACCACCGTCGACAGAGACGATCGTCACGTTTGCGCCGACGGTGTCTGGGCGGAATTGTCTAAAGAATGACTAGACTCCGGTCAATCTATGTGCAAATAACAGGAAGTTGGGGCAATCTACCTGCAAGTCAGCGAAATTGACATACTAGAGATATGTCGTTAGTGAAGTAACGGGATCAATGACGCGTGAATGCGTGCCTGTTCTAAGTAACCAGCAACGCCTATCTTATTCCCCTTATCTGCTGCTTGAGGGACATATCCCGACGTCCGATACAGAGCCTGAAGACAAGCCGGCGTCACAGTCGTGTTGCAGCTCAGGGGGATATCTTGGCCAGCGGGTCCTTTCACAGTAACTCCTCTCACACCTTCCGCAGCGGGCAATGCCGCATCGAGCATGTAGGTCGTGCGCATCGCTTTCATCCTATCAAACATGGTCGTGGGGTGAACGAGGTCAACATGCGCGTGCAGAGCCACGGGAAGGCTGTACGAGAGCGTGCGGACGATCTGCTCGCCGGTGGAGAGGTGTTCGTATGTGCGATATTTTGCTGAGAGCAGCTTCTCTGTGATGGCGATGGGCGCAGGGAGGGAGAGCCAGTCTCTTGCCGGGGAGTAGCTGGCGGAGGTGAGACTTATGTCATGTGAGACAAGCCAGTCTTGAATGATCGTGTGCGTAGACTGGTCCGGCGCAATCAACTCCTCCACCTCCCTGGAGAAAGTTAGAGTCATCTAAGGATTTCCAGACCAGTCTTACTTACCTCTTGGACAGGTGTCGACCGTAGCTTGGGTGCAATGGGTCGCTGATCTCGTGCAGCAGACCTACCAGATCCTCGAAGCCGCCCTGCTTGAGCGCAATCTTGAGATCGACGATGTAGTCTGCAGGAGGGGGACCGATGTCCACCCAACCTTGAGGAACGGTGAGCCAGGCATGCTTCACTACGTCGTCAACCTCCAGGATCGGAGACGCGTAGGCAGCAAGGCAGCAAGCCACCACGAAGCCAATCTTCGAGGGAGAAATCATCTCCGCCCTCAGAACGACGCATAGTGAAAGCGAGAGTCTTTTGTAAGACGAGCAGGAGGGACTCGCTCATGATAACACGGAGAATTGTTATCTACCAGACGACTTCTTGTGCCTATCCAGCAAACCGTCATTTGTTCTCTATAAAAATATGCCCGAAATTCCCATCACGTACCAGGCGGAAGTCTTCACCATAATGCTGATGAACGGGGCATTAGAAGGAGTTAGCACCGGGCCGGAGACCAACGGAATCTTTTAGCAGTCTATCGCAACGAGGAGTGCCAGTACTTCTCCAATCTCAGGCATCACTTTGAGTGAACGTAGGGTATGATAGCAAGTTGCAATCGCAAAACACTGAACAAGACATAGTCCATACAGCTATCACAAAGACGCACTGGAACGATGATGCTTATACAACAGCACTCTCACGATCCCTCTCCAGCCTATCCTCTCCTACGGTGCAAATAAATACGTCGCGATACATAATGAATGTCGTTCTATATCAGAGACAGGTCAGGAAGAAGGACATGACTGAAGTGTATGCGACTACTTACACAGAAAAATGAGCTTCTTCGCGCAAATATCGTCCTTCCACTTGCTTTGCGTCTTTCCGATGTCTTACTATCTCTGCCAGACGCCCCAACTGATCCACAGCTTGTTTTGTTCTCGGACAGTCCAGCAGGACTGAATCCTCTTGCAGCTTCCACTCGGCCTCTCGCTCTCCCCCACCCCCCACCCCCGCCTCACCTGGCGTGACCCTACCGGCGTCCCCAGGCAAGGCTCCTAATAGGAGCCGGCACCGCCGTCAGATGTCATCGTCGTCGGAGTAGAACTCGTCTTCCTCTTGATCATCCACCGACTGCAAATTCTCGAAATCAACCTTGTACCGCAACAGCCCGCCGATCCCACCAAAGCCCTTGACGAACTGCGCGCCCTCCTGGCTCTTGTTCGTCACAAACTCGAGGTTCGCGCCGAACTCGCGGTACTTGTCCGCAAACCACTCCAGCAACGGCTGCGGCTCCTCGACCTGCTCCATCTCGAGCCCCGTGCTCTTGTCCATGAACTTCTCGCGGTCCTTCTCCTGCTCCTTGTTCGCGTGCACGACGACGATGTCCCCCGCCGCGTTGCGCAGGACGTACCGCGTGATGTCCAGGTTCTCGTACACAATGAGCGTCTCGACGGCACCCAGCTCGAGGGCCTTAAGCGTGTCGTCCACGCCGTAGCAGTACTTGCCCGTGTCCTGGCTGATTTCGTCAAAGTACCGCTGGATGAGCTTCTTCTCCTGGACGAACTTGACATTCGCAAGCGCCTCCGCTGCGAGATCGATCGCCTGGTTGAACCCGTTCTCGCCACCGTAACTCACATCCACGACCTTGATCACCTTGGCCGCCAACCTCGGATCGAACATGTCACTTTGACTGAGCTCGGTCTTGAAGTCGGCACTACCGGCTAGCACGAGCCCGGTCACGTTGACCTTGTCGTTCGTGATGAAGTGCTGGACCGCCAACTCTGCGACCTTCCGGACGTAATTGTGTCGCTTCTCGTCACGCAGACGCGAGAAACGCAGGGCGGACTGGCCACCACGGCCGTGCTTCTTCGGTAAGTCGACGGTGAACTTGTGGATCACCTCGCGGGTGTTGCCAGCGACGGTACCGAAGAGGGTGCCGTTACCGTCCATGACGATGAAGCCGAACTTCGAGTCTGACTCGAGGAGCTCTTGGAGGGCTTCCGTGTGGAATTTGTTGTCGCATAAGTATAGCGACCTGTAGTTCCAAGGCATATCAGCCCCTATGGGGACGCATAGACGTAAAATGTACGTACGTGTTGATGGGCTTGTGAGGCTCGAAATCGAACGAGACCTTCTTTTCCTTTCCTTCATCGGTCAGGATCGTGCCCACAAAGAGCACGAGACCATTTGGCGGGACTCGATTGTACAGCTTTAGCCTTTGCTGTGTACTCGTAATTGCCGCGAGCACCGACAACCTGTTGACTCGCGACTTGATGTTCGACGCCGTACCGTACTCCTGCGTCAACATAGCAGACACCCGCGAGATTTGATCCTAGCCAGAAGCGTCAGATCATCGAACAATCCCGATTCTCCTGACTGACCTTTGGTGGAATGATCAGACTGATCATGGAAGTACCAGCACTACACGACGATTGTCAACATCGAGCCCAACCCCTCCAAACGCAAGCACGCACCCCCTGGCCGAGTCAAGGCTCTTGATGAGCTTCTTGATCTTCCACATCTGAATGTTCTGCTCTGCCGCATCTTGACTCATATTGGGCAGCGCTTTCCTGGCCCCCTGCTCGAAGTTGAAGAGAGAACGACAGACAGACGACGGAGGCGACGACGAGGGCCCTGTGCTGGCCGGTGAGCGTCAGGATCAAGGTTATCTGCGTTCAATTTTCTGCAGTGTAATGACATAGTGTCCCGATTTAGCAAAGATATAGGGGCTGCGTGCCTATCGCGCTTGTGGCGGAGTCGGACTTGAATTCAGACGTCTGAACATTGACAAAGGCTTGTAACTGCTGTACTGAAACAGACATGGCAGAAACGACTACGGCGACTGTAGAAGCATCTATAAATATGGCCGACACTTTGGGAAATTCTACTCACAAAAACAAAGGGAAGGGGAAAGCGCAGGAGCCTAAGAACAACGCGTCAAAGCAGACCTCTGGCTACACGGTCAGGAAATTGAATCCTCGACGTCCTTTCCCGACTGTTCCCTCCTCTGTCTCCGCGACTGGTCCCCGCTCAGCCCATACAGAAGGCAAGAATTATATTTGCATTTCACGCAAAACCCCACTTGCAGCATACCTGCGCCGATGCAAGGACATTATCCTCAAGGACGGGTGCGTATTTTTATACCTTTTCGATATAGCCCTTGACGTCTGATATCTATTGTACAAACACAGGTACAAATCTCTCCACCTTAGTGCGATGGGCGCAGCCATTCCGCACCTCCTGCTTCTGTCAACCTCCTTACCCTCTATCCTTCCCTTTAGTCCCGACGAAATCCATACCGAGGTCCGTACGGGAACCGTGGAGGTGCAAGACGAGCTAATTCCCGAAGATGAGGACGAGGATATCTCGTACCGCACGCGGGGAAAATCTAGCTTGAGTATAGTGATCAAGATTGGCGAAGGTGATCCGGAGGATGAGCCAAGGGTAAGTAATGGGAAGGGTAAAGGGAACGGAAAGAGGAGTGCTGGCGCGCAAGGCGGTGGGGAGGGGAAGAGGAACAAGACCTCGACGCCAGAGGGAGGGAAGGAGGATGCGATCGTCTTCCAGGAGCCTGAGCAGGAAAACATGGATGAATCATAGTGACAGAGTCAGCCTTGACTATTCGCTTTGTTTAATTTGCTTTTTCATCGCTGAATAGAGTACCATAGGTATCTTGTCGAGATAGATTTCGTCTTGCCCGTACGTGCTTACGAGCCACCCTCGACTGCCTTGAGCTTGCGCATGTAGTATTTTACTATTGCTGCAAGTCTTCTTGACATACATTGATATAACATTCACAGGATAAACACCAAGGTTTCTTAAAACGCCAAAAGCATGTCTATGGATGTCAGGAGTCGGATATATTCCTCAGTTCGTTACCGGCACCAGTCGGATTCGAACCGACCGGGGCATCGCTTTCCTCCGCCACAGCGCCCGCACCGCCACAGGGTGCACAGCCATCAGCAGCAAAGCTTACGCGCGCCTCCGGCACACTCCGGCACACCTACTTCAGCGACCGGCTCGCAAGCTCTCCTGCTTCATAACGACCACCTCAGCCGCACAACCCCGCTCTACTACAGAGACACCAGCGACTGACGGCGATGCAACTAGCATCGCACGGGCTGCGAGGCCTCCCCGGCCAGGCCGCATCCCGCTGGCTATCGACCGGGGGACCGCCATCGAGGTCCATACACGTACACTCCATACCGCGCCCAACTACAACTTCCTCCAGCGGACTCGCACAGACACTCCTCTCTAAGACTCGGTATCTGCTTACTGGCTTCGTCGGGCATCTCACCACGCCAGGTACACTCGGCCGCAGCACTGTTCCTTCGCGGTCGCTGCACGCAGCGAGACCGCAGAGCATCCAACAGCGCCTGTCGTTGCCGGCGAGGTATGCGTTATCGACGCCCCTGCATGCGCCGAGGCTGCCCAAGCCGCCTGCGGTGCCGCGGAATGTGACCCAGGTCGGCCTGGGCGTCGTGCGGAATTTCTCGACTGCGCGCCCGATATTCGAGAACCTCGTACAGAACGTCCCCGTGGCGGGGCGCGCATTTGTCGAGGCAGATTGGGAGATCAAGATGCCGGAGATGGAGAAGGCGAAGATCATGATGAAGGGCAAGGGCAAGGAGAACGTGAAGAAGAGCGAAGAGATGATGAAGCCGAAGGAGAAGAAAGAGAAGCGGGTGCAGAAGGCAAGAAAAGAAGAGGAGTATGAGCGCTATTTCCCCGCTCCCGCCCCGGCCGAGGTGACCACCCACTTGTACGTTCCTCTGGCGCCGACGCCTTCCTCGCGCATGCCCCTTGCAGCCTCCGGGTCGCCCTCGCGCCTGCTGCCCCTGGACACGCTCGCGTACATGCATTCATCGGCGGACAAGCACTCGCTGCGCGTCTCGTCTCTCTTCATGCGGCTCGACCAGGGCCATGTGTGGGAGCGCGGCGTGCGCTGCGAGGCGTTCGGTGATCCCAGCGGGGTGTGTACGATTCTGAGAGTGACCTTCGAGGGATGGTCGGCCCAGGAGGTGAGAGGCGTTATTGGGGAGAGCGGGACGGGGTGGTGCGAGCTGGAGGAGTGTAGGAAGGGGGAGGAAGAGGAGATGGAGAGCGTGCTGTCGGACATGGAGTTGAGCTCTGCGGTGATGAGCGAGAGCGGGTATGAGAGCGAGCATGTGGATGCGCTCGAGTCTCCTCCGGCGGCGGAGATGGATCCCGCTGCTTCGTTCGTGCTGCCCACTCTGGACTTCTCGTCGACGTTCTATGCGACGTCAAGGCAGTCCGTCGTCCCTCCGACGACCGCTCTGTCATCCGGAGCCTCGACACCGACATCCGAGGTTGACAGCCGCTTCCATTTCCCGCTTTCGCCCAACGAGCTTGACGCCTTCTCGGACTTCAGCGACACCGGCTCAGAACGTAGCTTCAGCTCTGGGAGTTTCGTCGATCCTCCCAGCTTGAACGCGCCATCACAGGCGTCTAGCTGGTACGGCGGGTTTGGATTCAGTTCTGAATTCGCCAGTCGGGTTGGGATGGATGAGGGGCCTAGGGAGGCCATGTTCTGAATGTGATGATTTTCTGACTCTTGTTCCTGCGTCGGAGGCCGGTTAGGTTCTCAATTCACTCTCACTATTGTTTGACTATTTTCTGCGTTGTATCGTTTTCATTTTCTGTAAAGTGACTGTATCATATCGTAATGACATTGAGCATATCGTTATCCAGAAATTCGATTCCGTTCGGTCGAACCATTCGGTAAATTGGTTCGGACAGACACATCGGACACTCTGAAGGCGCCAGCTTAGACTTCTGGCTCTGAGTCTCATGCGACTCACGGTCGCTTCAGCCCCATGCTTTGTACGAAATATCCCTTCTCATCCTGGGCCCTTACCTTCAGCAATGCTGCCCCCGCCGTCCTGGGCTCTCGAGCGCGGTGGCTACGTCGCCGGAAATAAGGACGGTGGGGCAACAACGCGGGGAAGGCCTTTCGTCATAGCTGCCTCCTGTGCCTGATCAGGTTGAGTGCTTCAGCATCCATTTCTGATATGTCCCAAGGCCCCCCCTTGTCCTCGTTGCCCACTGGCATGTCTGCGTCGCCGCCATGTCCATCAACACCGCGAAAGTGAACAACACGACCCAGAGCTTCGTCACCGCGCTCGTCACGAATGCGGCCATCCTCGGCGTCGAGGTCGGCGCGTTCACTGTGCTGAAGCAGAGGCTCGGGAGGATATATACCCCGAGGACGTATTTGCCGCCGCCAGAGTGAGTGCAATCGATCGAGTCAGGGTAGCTCGGTTGTTGAAGCAGGGAACGCAGTAAACGATCGAAAGAGCTCCCCCCTGGCCTTTGGAGGTGGATACCAGCGACACTAAGATCACCGGCAGAAGATATCGTGAGGCTTAAATACACTCGCTTACTATGCGCTGACACTTAGACGTTCACACCCCCAGATTCACAAGAATGGGCTGGATGCCTACCTGTTCCTCCGCTTCCTCAAGCTCCTCATCGTACTCTTCGGCGTGTTCTGGGTGTCAACATGGATCGTGCTTCTCCCCATAGAAGCTGCGGGAGTGGCCTCGGAGAGCCGGACAGGGCTAGACAAGTACCAGTGGGGAAAGTGAGCGCAATCTCCAGTTGTACCCTGCTGCAACTAGACTGACGCGCATATACCCAGCGATGTATCACAGCCGGAACGCTACGCGGCGCATATAATCATGGTCTACCTACTAACATGTGCGTAGGTCAGTTTCCCTATGTAATATCAGTCGGGGCTAATTGCTACCCCTCATGCAGGTTTCGTCCTCTACATGATCCGCCGAGAGATGTTCCACTTCGTCCACATGCGGCACCAGTTCCTCATATCCAAGTCGCACTCCCGCCTTGCACAAGCGCGTACCGTATTAATCACCAATGTACCAGACGAGCTAGCCAACGACCATGATCTAAGGCAGTTCTGCTCATTCGTACCAGGCGGTATCGAGCGAATATGGATCTACCGCGACTCCAGGGTACGTGGTACCCCTCGATCTGTGCCCTTCATGCCGAGCTGAGACACCATGCGTTGGTAGGACTTGAACAAGAACTTCGAAGCCCGCCAGAAAGCCTGCAAGAAGCTCGAGGCAGCATCGTCCAAACTTCTGCGTGCTGCCACGAAAGAGTGGGTGCGCAGACAGAAAGCGCAGCACAAGTTCGCGAAGAAGGTGCGCAAACCAAGGGACGTCGAGAAGGCCGAGAAGGAGGCTGCGGAGGAGGGGTTCGACGTGAACGCGCTGATCCCGCCGAGCCCGAGCAGAGAATTTATGGACGATTTGGTGCCAGAGGAGAAGAGGCCAAAGCATCGCTTGGGCACACTTGGGGTAGTGGGTATTGGGAAGAAGGTGGATACGATTGAGTGGTGTAAGGTGCGCTGCTTCGGACTGAATGAGTTGCCCGTTGTGGAAGATATGCTGATGAGGATTGGTAGGTCGAGATTGCGAAGCTGAATGCGGCAATTGAAGAGGGAAGGCAGCAGCTTGGCGAACGAAAGCCGCTGGGGAGTGCCTTCGTCGAGTGCAACCTCCAGATTGGCGCCCACGTACTCGCGCAATGCGTCAGTTATCACGAAGTGAGTATATTCCTGCGTATATAGGACTCTTGTACTGACTATGGCGGAACAGCCGTTATTCATGGGGGACAAGTATATCGAAGTTTCGCCGAAGGATATGATCTGGTCGAACCTGGATGTATGCGCATTCATCCACTTGTGCTTCTGGAGGTGGTCTGATGTGTGATTGGTCAGGACGGAGCGTACGAGATGCGTGCGCGGTATATTATGTCGCTGGCTGCCACCATTGGCCTTATAATTGCATGGGCTGCACCGGTTGCATTCATTGGGAGTATTAGTAACGTCTCCGGGCTTTGTGCCAGACTGCCGTAAGTGATCCCATTGATTGTCCTTGCCCTCGAACTAAATCTGTCTTATATTTCCTGGATAGGTGGGTGAGATGGGTGTGTTCAGGTACGCTTGAGGTTCCCGCATACGTAGGTTAAGAACGATAACTGAAATCTGCCCTAGCACCAACCCCGATCCCTGGTATTATATCAGGCGTGTTGCCGCCTGTGTTACTCGCGCTCTTGATGATCATACTCCCCCAAATCCTGCGAGGTGCGTTCGGGCTGATTCGCAGGGCTAAAGTGGCCGCTGAAGAAGTTTTGCAGCGCTGGCATGGTTTGAATGCATACCGCGGTACTCTTTCCTGCAAGTTAGCGTGTATAAGCGCTACTATGCATTCCTGGTGGTGTGCGTTGTTCCTTTTTCTGCAAGGTTTAAATCATGCTCATAGCTGTGTGGCCGCGTTATAGGCACGGGTTCTTGATCGTCACCCTCAGCTCTGCCATTACATCCACTATTTCCGATGTAAGTTTAATCCACACCCCGGGAAGGAGATCCTGAGCTCTTCGCAGATAATCACACAACCCACCAATGCCGTGGAGAACCTTGCCAGTCGACTCCCGGACGCTTCGATATTCTTCCTAACATACATGAGTACGTGGTCGTGATATCTCAATACGGATAGCTGTTCATACTTCGTCGTTTCACAGTTACACAAGGCTTGACAGGAGCTGCCAGCGCGCTCATCCAACTAGGCCCTTTGATTTTCCATTTCATTAGAAAATGGTTCTTGGGGAGAACACCGAGGCAGGCGTATGGAGTATGTATATATTTGTGGCCAAGGGCCGGGTTACTGATCAAGACTTTTCATAGGTGACATTCTTGATGCCAGCTGTAAGTTGGCCTCAGAGCTTGTGTCCATCATCCTGACGTTGTATCCTAGGCGAATTTTGGAACTGTTCTGCCTCGGATATCCCTCCTGGCAACCATTGGCCTTGCGTATTCGGTCCTTTCGCCGATTATCAATGGTCTTGCGACAGTTGCATTTTTCTTGCTCTTCCTTGCGTGGAAGTTCCGTGAGTAGCTTGTGTTGAAATTAGGGATTCTCTTGAACTGAAAGGATTTTAGTGCTAACCCAAGTATTTGACCAACCGGACGAGTCTGAGACAGGTAGGATGGCCCGTCCTTTACTGTCCTGTGGGGACTGAGAGGATCCACTTATAGGCGGACAATACTTCTACTTGGCGCTATCAAATATATGTGCGTAGTCTTTGTCACTGAGTAGCCGCTGAAAATCTGATCATCTCGCAGTCATTGGGTTGTATATTGAGCAGATAGCGCTAGCCTGCTTGTTCTTCCTCAACACCCCGAATGCTCCTAAGACGTCCCTTGCCGGTGGTATCCTCATGATTGTCCTGTTTGTCGTGACAGCGCTGTACCAGGTATTGATTCATAGGAGCTTCCATCGTGAGTTGCTGTATATGTCAGCAGCGATGTCATTCACTCACTGACTTCCTTACCCCAGCAATTTCCGAATATCTGCCTATGTCGTTGGCTACCAAACAGATGGCTGAGAGATACAAGCACCAGCTCGGGAAGAAGGAAGACATCTTACCTGATGAAGAATTCGACTTATTTGATCGCGATCGTGCGTGTGCCTAAAGCCCTCCCAAGCGATATGTTTCTCATCTCGGATCAGGCCTGAAGAGCGTTCTGCGACGGCGCATGAAGATCAAACCTCCTACGATTCTTGGGAGTCGTGACAATCGAGATGCTAGTCCCAAGCGCGACGAGGAGGCAAAGCCAAGACCGAGCGGGTCCAAAGAGCGCACAAGCGACGTGCTTAGTCGCTCAAAGACGGGCGACTCACTGCACTCCGAGACCACTGCAACATCCGCTAATTCCAGTAGTCTGGAAGCTCCGACCAAATCCCACGGCTTGGACATCGCCCCTCCGGAACCCGCGCCCAATAGCAATGGTAACGCCGAAGATGAAGAAGAGTACCTAGACGAGCATGCGTTCGACCACCCTTCCACTTACGCCGAGCAGCCATGGATATGGATACCTAAGGATACCCTGGGCTTAAGCGGAGTCTTACTACAAGAATTCAAGGAGGCTGGGGTGGAGACGAGTGATAATGGGTCTACGATGGATGAACGAGGGACGGTAGAAGTTTCGAGGAATCCACCGGACGAGGAGTGGTCGGGTGGACATGACAAATGATGACTTTCTTGCAGTATGTTTCGGGCATGATTTCGAACGGAACTGACGGATACCCCTGCTATTAGTATTATTTCTTGGCTAATATGATGTACGGTGTGCTGCTCTCAATCATGTTCATACACGCTAGCGCAATTGCTAACCATTGTAAGACTTCTTCCGACGCCTGGCGTGTTGCTCCAGTGAATGTGTCACACTACAGACGTAGGATACGTACGTGCACAGTGCCTTGGATTACAGTGTATGATACTGGCATTCAGGATCTACGATGAGTGCGTACTGACAGGCATTTTCCCGTCGCTCTTGCAATCCACCGGCTGGGCTCAGAGTGGCAAGGGTGTGCTCCGTTAGGGCATATTCCGCAAGGATACCGGTACGAGCGTGTGGCATCTTCATTGCCCCTCAACCTCTTCTATCGTATCGTGTGGAAGTAATCTTACTTTCCAACACAGAGAATTTGCTGCCTTCGCCGCGGAGTAACAGGGAGAAACGTAATATGAACCTATACTGCACCTGCGGCTTGCTCACATAAGCTGCGAAACGGTATGTGATGGTCTCTGTACCGCAGCAAATTCAAGTTCCCGCGATGTGGACACATCCCTGACAGAGTATTCCCTCCCTTCCATGGAGACTCGCATAAGTCGAGCTGCGTGGTGTATAAGGTCCACTCGTAGCCAGTTGCGGCTGTGATCGGGCTCGTGGGTCGCGAAGTTAGTATTATTGCCCTAGGTCCACAGCACGGAATTAGCAAGACGGCGCCGGTATGTACGGAAATGAGTCTCCTGGTCACAGCTTCCCCACCGATTCGAGATCGATTTCCTATCAGACTCGAATGAGCTACGCATGTGGTGCAGCAGTAATTGAATCCGGCCATCTGATCCATGTGCCGGAGTCCAGACATGGGAGAGTTGGGAGAAGTTCAGGTGTGTGTCCAGGCATTCGCAGCCTGCCAGACGACATTGGGCCGCCTTGAGGCAGTCAGCTTGAGTGCTAGTAGGCGGGTTAGTTCTAATGTTCCCATACCGTTTTCTCTACCTAGGCACCGGAAAGATCGAGCGGCCATAGGTGAAAATGGCGTACTCCAGCGACTTCTCGACTAGTCGCTCCTGTGCCTTCAAAGGCACCTCCCCAGATCTTGTTCCACGGGAAAATGCGCCCGGAGTCAGTGGTACCTCCGGTGAGGAGTGGTCGGGGCTTATATTCGAGGGTCTAATATTTGTACTTGACGATGACTATTGTTGCATCGTGTACCATACGACAAGATGGTTGGATTATATCAATTACAGTACTCACATGGCATACAAGCATACTAACTACGTACGCACCGTCGGTGGTAGACACTCGCAGGTATGAAAACCTTGTACAAATGGCAAGCCTGCTATTAGCTACTATGGATAGCACTCAGTTCGGAAATTGCTGGCCCTAAACAATGTATTAGTGGGTATCAGACGAACCACTGGCATGGGACCATTAGCGTTTGTAGTTGCGTTTTTCGCCTCGTCGTACTGAATCGCTAGAAATGGCATTGGATACGATGCTGGTTATACAATCGCATAGGTATACTTTTAAATTGACGATGTCCAAACTTCTTGGGTCTACTTGAAGTGTCCCGTCCTGGGTCTAACCACCCGGTGTAAGCGAGGCGGCATCAGTGGTGCTGCTGTCTGTCCCTCACGTAAAGGCCTTCATCTCAGAGCTTCGGGGAGTGAATCTGTCTAGGCCAAATGTATGAGGGTTTGTTCTTATTATACGCTCGTGAGTCCCCAACCTGTACTTTTTAGTCTATTATTCAAAGTCTTCCGGTATAGCCGTGCCTCCGATAATTCATGTCCGGGCAAAACCGAGGAGTGTTGCATCATTCATCGAGTGTTGAAAGATCCAAGGGGAGAAATAATCAAAAACAGCAGTGACAGTGAGCGTTCCTACATCGGCATTCAAACCTCGAGGAGAATTCGAATTTAGCAACGTCGCGGTATTGAATTCTAGTTGGTGGCAAAGATTCTGCTGCATGCAGGGCCGCTATAACAAGCTCGCATACTCTGCGCACAGGAGATATCCCGGTCTCAGCAGATGCTCCGGTTTCTGATAGGCAAGAAGTGCAGAAGGTCAAGAGTAACTTATGTGCAGGGCTTTTCTATAGGTGTTCGTGTGCAGTGCCACACAACTCCCAAATCCGGCAAGCCTCCTGCCAAAAGCAAAGTCCCGAGTTGAGCCGGCACGAACGCAGCTCTCCCGCATGAACCCGATGGTCTATGCCGTTCCTCTCTTTACAACATTCTTGTACTTGTCAACAGCGCGCGCTCACTGTGCTAAGTCGGGCAGCATCGTTTCGTGCAATTCCCCCTGAGTAGATCCGTCGCTCTCTCTGTATCTTTCGGGACACATTGACAGGACCTGCCCGCGGTGATATGTGGTACTTGAGCACACTTGTGCTTGACTTCGCCCTGTCTCAGGCATTGTTAAAAGTGGAAATTACAGCGCTACTATATTCGTGGAAGATAGTACCCTGAAAAAAAGCACAGCATTGGCGCTAAATGGTCACAGCAGCGACGAAATGGCCACTGCTGTTCCTGCAACCTTGAGCCCCTTGAGTCTACTAGGTGTTCGCCCACGGCACTCCCGTCTCTCCCCCCCTCCCCCCCCGCCCAGGATGACATGAAGTGAAAGCCCAGCTGTACATCGATACACTTGTGCACTATAGCATGCAAGACGCGAACTTGAGTGTTGACGTTGTCCCACTTCAAGTTCTGCGGTCCCGACTGCACGAATTACCTCATTACTCCGTCAGTCATTGGACATGCGATACATCTGCCTTCCGGATGCGCCTGCTACTGTTGCAAGGGGGCTGTACGCCAAGGCAGATGGATGGTGCCAGGGGACTCGTCGGTCACAACGGCAATGATCGAGGGCGCTGCGATATAATGCCAGACTGGTGAAAACGCATAATGGCTGTGTTGCGGATGGGTTCATTGCCTTGCAGGACCGTGATTAGACGGCAATGCCAAGTCGGAAGGAAGCTGTACTGCGCTATAGCGACTTCTCATCGAGTGGCGTTGTCGTATCTAGCTGGTATCCAGTGCCTGCATTGTGGTGCTTGCCAGCCGTGTTATAATCGTGACCGAGACATCTCATTCAACTCTTGCCGCAAGAGTCCATGAATCTCAGTCGAGTTGCTGAACATTGACATCCATGCGTATATTCCACATTTGATAGCCATGATATTGCACACTGACGCAACTTCTATCTTAGCACAGCTTCTCTGTCTCCTGTCTTTGCATGGCTGTGCTTTCCGACCAGCGATCGATCGTATATCGGTCTCCGATTTGGTCTGGAATTCAATGAAGAATACTCCTGTCTGCCGGACCATAACCCCACGATCCAGGGTAGCATCACTCGTGCCACAGCTATAGATAATCCACAGCCTGGATCCGAATGTAGGCATTAACTCAGGCCAGGATACTGTACTAGTGGTGATATAGCTAAGATTGTCCTGCAACAACTCTTGACATCTGCCAGTCATAATATTAAGGTACAACAAAGCAGACTCGAATCGAATCGAAACAAAGGGAACTCACAAAGTGAGATCATATCATTGACACGCTTGGAATACTGAGACGAATATGCGCACAATCCATAGCCGCAGAGAATGACATTCCAAGGTACAATGATCCCCAATGCACCTAACATTGGCCTTCGAATAGCATGACGCCAGGCGGAGAATATAGCCAGGAAAGAAGACAACACGACCTCTCTCCTGACAATGGGACGAGGACCAGGCTGCGTCATTACTGCAATCCCAGTGGGAATGATGGCCCTAGATCGACATCCTTGCTTCCAATCAACCATTGTCTGCGCATGTTGAATTCCGGAAGCACTGGTTCACCGCTATCAAGCTCCCATCGTGACATGCAGTTCCTAGGGGACGCCCGCCATGGTCGAGTAGCACAAACAGCGGCTAGGAAATTATGTCAACAACGTGAAAGCCAAGCGAGCACTTACTAGAACATTTGGGCTTAGCGAGGAGACGACATTACTTACGCCAACGGCGGCAATGCTTTATACACCTCTTACGCCGGGACTGAGGCAGAATCTCCGCGATGGGCGAGATTGAGACCGCTCGGCCAATGGCATTTTCGCCTTACAGACCGCGAGCTCCACATCAGCAGTCCGTCATGCCCCGAGAAACCCCAGGGAAGAGCTCCGCCAATAGCAAAAGTACCTAGTGGACCCCGCCCGACTTGAATCGGTATATCCTCAGCGATGATATGGATATCAGCTATCATTGCTGCGCCGTCAAGGAGTACTAATACGGGGGGCTGGCACGAGTTCAAGTTGTCTGGCTTGGGTATTCGTAATTAGAACTGGGAGCTGTACGTAAACGCGTCCTTTGTGCCTGCTGGGGAGGAGCTGCTGACGGGCCTTCGACATTCATTCAGAAGAGAGTGCATAATGTTGCTAGGTCCGAGCCATCCGAGATGAAAGCTTGGGCGACGCACCGATGTTGTATTGGTTCATGTGACCATACCGGAATAGCCCCCGGACGCGGAAGGAAACAGAGATCCGGGGAGGCGGCCAGTGTCCAGCGAAAGCAAGAGTGTGCCAAGCGAGCACGGAAAGGCCGACGAGCACCAAAGACCTGGAAGGTACTCGACCAACAAAGGGAACCAGATGCCTTCCCTTCGTGAGCGTGACAAGAATGGCGGCCAGAACGCTCGGAGGCTCCGGGAGTGGATGGGGGCCTCCTCGAGGACGCGTTTCTAAGAGGGTTGAGAATAGCGAAGAAGACGTACTGGCACTGCGATCTTCATCCGTTTGCAATTGCGGCACGGTTTTGGGCAAACTGATTGGCAAGGAAAGAGCGGCAGCGACCTGCGGAACATACCTGCGACAGGTTAATCCCGCCAGCGGTTTCTGTCAGACGTGGCAGGTAGCATGGAAAGCGTCTCAGGGGAGACGAGCCTTGGGATTGTTGGCGCCGTCGCTCTACATGGGCGCCTGCAATCCCAAAGCCCGGCGTGCCCGTCACTCGGCGCGCACGGTGACCAACTGCGATCCAGGGGGGTAGGATGTGGCGGGTGTTTCGCTGTGATGCTCAGACAATGGGTCTGGACCTCATCCGGAAATGAAAACGCTAGAAGCCTCTGGCTATAGCTAGCACGTGCAGCACTAGTCCTACCGTTTATCGTTCAATGACTGTTAATCTGTAAACAAAGGTGGCGTTAGCAGCAACCCGCGTACACTAGCAGCACTTACGGTAGGCCAAGGCTCGGAACTTTGTCCGCGACGGAGGGACTGTCAGTTCTGACAGCTTGATTCCTTTGTTCGCTGTATGCTCCGGAGGTGCCAAGAAGCCTGCGCTGGGAAGATTATCGAGATGAACAGGACGAGACTCACGGAAATTAAAGGCGACCTTGAAGAGATAAGGTCGCGCGACGCCCGAGGTCAGGCTGTCCACAGGGCGCCCACATCTACCGGTGACTATACGCACGTGAATATCACAGCTACAGTACTTCCCCTTGTATTATAGGTCCTCTGATCTTCATCAGGCTTGTTACTGATGCACGATGCGATGAAGGTGACTCAGGTAGGCTCGACCAGTCGGGTCGCCCCTGCTCTGCCAAGCCTGCACATCATCAGCATATACTCTGAACACAGTTCAACTAGTCCAACACGCACCCATCTAAGCCCCATCCATCTCTATCAAGCCTCCTTATAGCCGTGCGCGCAAGTTCGGGCGTCTAACAGATAACCTCTTCCAGATAATTCGGAACAACGTAACCCTACCTGTTCAAGTGCAATGCATGGCAAAGGTGACATGGAACGCGCCAACGTGGAATAGGTGTATCCTCGGTCTCTCACGAACGTCGACGCGCCCTGTCCATGTCAGGCGCACCGACGATCCGAAGATAGCAAGGCGGGTGAAAGAGGGGGAGCGCAGGAACGAGGGTATCTGTATTTCGGACCCGGGCTGCGCGCGCGTTGCTCAGCACGACATACTGTACCTCGGCGAATCGTTTGGAACAGAACAGAATCCATCTACTAAGTATACCACGTATCGACATACCGTTCACAAAGTATTGCAGTGCCAGGGGGCACGAGGAATATTTAGGTACATCCCGAGATGGCTCCTCTCTCCATCACCACGCATCACGGGGATCCCCAGCTGGAGTCTGCCAGTGCTGCGCTGCGTCTCTCCTCGAAGGGTGGCGGAGATGCGATCTGACGTCTTCGATGCGCGGAGTGATTCCACTTTCTCCTGGCAAGTGACCTGGGACGATGGAGATGTGGCTGAACCGGCGTGCACATGCATGATATATCAATCCGTGTCTACGAGAGGAGATGAGAGGTGAGAAGAGAATTGGGTATCGAAATGGAGGGGATTGGGAAAGTATCGAGCGTCTGGATAGTGTCGAGACTCGATATACGTACAGGCAGAACTGCGGACCAACCCATCCGGTAGCCTACCCACGACGATCCGAAGTACGCAGAACGCAGGCGCGATACTTACCGCCCAGAGCCTCAGGTCCCTGCATACCCACCTGCCTGGGAAGTCGACGTCATAGCCCATCCACACCAAACATAGGCCGAGCCGGGGGCACTAATCTAGCCTTTGAAGAAGATGGGGAGCTCCAAAGGAGACCAGCAAGAACTGTGGACAGAGGTCACAGAAAGACGTGCCAAGGCTCGGACATACGTGATGACATGCCATTCACCAGAACCTTGCCAAAACGCAAGCGACTTCAGGAAGCGGGGGCCATCAGGAGGGTCCGAACTCTCCCGCGATGGCCAAACCTCTAGATCAAAGAATATTCACAATAATATCCGCCGACGCACGGTCCACGTCCAGGAATACCGTGCGCGAGAGCATCAACCGGGGTGCACCTAGGGCCCGCATATACAGGAGCCGAACTGTCTGGCTGCCGGTGAATCCTCGTCGACGATCTTCGGTGCGCTCTATAAGTAGTCAACGCGTCAACCGGAAGCAAGGGGACCTGTGACGCAACCACCCTACCGGCTCCGTCGAACTAGCGGGAGAGGTCGCCTCGAGGTTTGCCACGTACGTACGGCCAAGGCCAGGAGCGCGGAGGGGACAAAGGAAGTAGCGGCAAGCTGTAACGGAACGTGGTTGGAGTGGGTATATGCACGATCGTACACACCTTCCTGCTGCGCGAGCAGTGAGATACACAGCCAGGGTTAGGTACGCGTCCAGACAATGAAGACCACCCGAGAATAGGGCGGGATGTGGGATCAGCGCCCGATAAGATTCGTGCCCTCGTATCATATCAGGTTTGATATGGCTGCGATCCTTCTTGGACAGGGCCAACGAGGCGACGGGGGGTATTGCGGGCCAGGAGGCATCGAATGGGAGCGTATAGCAGGGAGTAGCGAACCTTCGCGCATCGGGACCTGCACGCAATCAGTCAGACATCACACTCATAGCTGCCTTGAGCCTACATGCGGAGGGATGGATCGGCAAGCGAGGAGCGCGTACGACCAGACTCTATGCGGTGTTCGCTTCGCGACCGGTGTCCTACGGCCCAGCCGATCTGGGATGCTTGAGCACCACACGATACTTGAGCACGAGCGCGATGATTCGTACCTTTGTACCTTTCCTGGTTCTCTATGTACGCAGTGGCGCCAGAAGGACTGCAGCGTGCCCGGGGCTGGCTCGGCCCTTAACTTGTTGAATATTGGCCACTATTGCTGAATCTTCAATAACATGGAGACAGATCGCGTCGAAGCCCACCCTGTGCGGATGAGGAGAACGTGCCACCCCCGCTGGAGGCAATTAGCACCTTCAGGTAAGATGAGCACACAGCAAGTGAACAAGAAGGCGGGGACTGAGGCCTGAGGGCGCGTCACCCGGACTTCACCTGAATCGGAGGCGACGCGCAACCTACGGTCAAAATGAAGTCCGGCAGGCTGGAGCTCGAAAGGCGGCGCGTACATCTACCCATCCGACCAGGGTTGTCCCTAGGAGAAGTGTTACTGATTCGTTACCCTATCCCAGGGAGACGCTTAAGCTTGATTATTCAGGGGATACGTGGACGCTTACTCGAGCCGTGACGATATGTGGCGCATCTGTATCTCTTACCGCAGCAAGGGGGGTGTATGCCGGGCGAACGCGTCAACCAGTGGCTATGAAACGATCCGAGTGCCTCAGGCTGTATGCATGCCGATACAGACGTGTGGCGGGAGACACGTTCGTAGGATAGGGTGGGCCCCCTTCGTTGTGGCCCTGACCGAGCTTGCAGCGATACCCGCGGTGAGCTCGGGGTTAGGTTTATAAAGCACCTTACTTACTGTGACGCGATGCCGGGAGGGGATGATGGTGGCGCGGCCGTTCCCGCTGTGCGTTCTAATATGGTTCAGATCCGTCAGGGGGGGGGGGGCGGGGGCCGTTCCCGGCGTATGTGTGTTCTGACATGAATCAGATCCGTTGAGGACTCGTACGTACGTGTCTTCCATGCCGAGGATTGTGCGCAGTGGGCTGGGCTGTCAGTAAAGTAGGATACCGGTAGAATCATGTCCACTTGGGACATCCAATGAAGAAACCTGTCGGGTGGGTGCGTCTACTGTGAGTTGAGGCGGAATCAAAGGTACTTATCGCCGCCGGGGGAGATGTACCTGAAGCGCCAGAGAAGTATCAAGATATTTGTGCTGACTGTCCACCCGAGCAGCGAGAGCAGTATGGTATCGGAAAGAGCCGAACGAGCGTTGATCACTCGTCTGGGGGTGATTGGGCCATGGTCGTATGCGGAAAAATCACAAATCGATGGGCAGCGATTCGAGCTGTTGATTTCTGATTACAGATGCCCCATTGTGCAGACACGGAAGCAAATCTCGACGATGGAAGGCGAGGGACGAACAATGCAGAAGACTTTGGATAGTTTGCTGAGAAGTGATCCGGGGAAATAGGGTTGAAGTAAGGTTAAGACTCGAGAAATTGCGTATGCACGAGCGATTACACATGATATCTGCGCGCGGAAGGCTTCGCTGGAGGATCTGCACCCGGGATTAGATGCGCACGCGCATGACAGTGCACGCAAGCGACTTGGGCGCATGTTTACTTAAACTACGGTAGCTATGCCTGAGAGGGGGCTAAACCGGAAGGATATCAGGCTTGGCTGGTGTTGTTGGCTGCGACGGGCTGATATTTGTTTTGATGGCCAACAACACGCGTCGGAATGCCGTCGTATTTTCCGCGGAGATTCCTGTATGCCCTGAATATTCCAGACAAGGGGAAATTCGGGCGACAGATGGGCGAGTCGGAGCCGGGCATGGAGGGAAGAGAGCTGAAGAGAACGTGATTCGCAAAAGCTGTCTGGATCCGGATAATGGAGAGACAAATGCGCGAAGCTGGGAAAGCCTGGGCCCGCATTTGTCGAGGAGGGGTCGGGTAGATCCGAGCGGTCAGACGACGAGATCGATGGCTCGATGCTGTTGAAACTCGCTCTGACTTATTTCAGCCACCGTGACCGGTCCATTCTGCAGGAAATGACAATGCACGGCGTTGAGTAGACGCACGCCCTGCCCGTCCCTTCACAGAAGCCGGAGCTCCAGGAAATGAATAAAGGCCGGAAGAGGAGGGAGCGAGCCAGAAATGCGGGGCACGGAAACAACTGTCAAAGTGACAGTCGTCACGGATCGGAGATGGGCGGGGACCCGAGACAGTCTTGGCTGCTTGGCCGAGTTGCGACGTCGCCCTGCTATAATTCACGGGCGATATCTAATTATGACTGCATAGCTCCTGCTCTTGCCCGACGACGACGCCAACGATGACCGCTGTAATGCAGCCTAGCTCGAGCCCGTTCATGTCCCCCGCCTTCCGTCCGGGCCACGGCATCCTCCTCAACCCATCCCCGAGGACGACGGCCTTTCCCCTCCCGACGCCGACGCCGACGCCGCTCCCCCACCCGGCGTCGTACACCTCGCTCTCCTCCTCGTCGTCGTCAGCGGCGACGGACGAAGATGCCCTCTACTCCTCCTCGACCGACGTCGACGCCCACCCAGCGCGCACCCACCGCTCGCGCTCGCTCCCTGCCCCCCACTCTGCGCCAGCACGCAAGATCCGCTTCGCCCCCCTCCCCGACCCGCGCCGCGCGGTGTTCGTCACCGACGGCGGCGACGAACTTCCCATTCCCCTGTCAGATGATGACGGCATGATCGTCTCGTCTGCCGCCAGCGTCAGCGGCGACACCAATAACACCAAAAAATTCACTATTGGTATGGACTCGCGCTCCCCCTCGGTGTCCCCTCAGGTGCATGCAAGTACAAACTTGGACTGGGAGCTCGTTGACTCGCCGAGAATTAATTCGTACAAGCTCCCGCCGCCTGCGCTAGCGCCCGAGTCTCACCCCCCGTCGTTGGCGTCCTCTATCTCGTCTCATGCCAACTACGAATACACCACTTCCCCCGCCCCTTCTATGCCCTCGTCCCCAACGAACGCTTCGTGCTTCCCGGGTGCTTTACCGAGTAGCGGGAAGAGGGGCCTGACGAGCAAGCTGCTGCGTCCTTTCACGATCAGCAAGAAGCCGTCGCTGAGCTTCTCGAATACGAGCACTGAGAGCGTTGGCCTCCCGAGGCAAGTGTTTTTTGTCACAGTCATCTTTATCTTCGCCCCTCAACTCATCACTAGGACCTCCTCGCGTGATACCGAATCCTTCTTGTTCGGCGTGCCCTTGCACCGCTTTTCCTCAGCACAATCCACGCAATCAGCCTACTCCACCGCTTCCGCGTCGACCATCGGTCCCTCCTCATTCACCTTCGGCGGCTCTCTCGCACGTTCCCAGTCACTGACCTCCGAGCCGGATGACTCGCGCAAGAAGAAGCTGCTCTCCGGCATGGGAGGTGGGAAGCGCAAGAAACGCCCGTCCTCGGCGTCCGGGTCGATCGCCTCACTGCAAACCGGGCAGCGATCCGCCGGCGGCGGCGTGCGCATGCTGAACGGGCGGATCTACGGCGCGAAGCACCACAACCAGTACCAGTACCAGAACAAGAACCCGTTCGCGACGGTGAGCTCGCGCACGGAGCCCGAGTTCGTCGAGTGGGGATACGGCGGGATGGGGAGTGTTGATTCTGGTGCGGGGAATTCGGTGTGGAAGAAGCTGCAGAGCGGAGAGACGATTGGGGGGACGGAGGGCGGGCGGGGGGCTGCTCGGGATGACGAGGATGATGGGAGCGGGATGGGGTGGGTGAAGAAGAGAAGGGAGAAGAGGGAGAGAGAACGTAAGGAGCAGGAGGAGCGAGAGAGGGCGGAGAGGGAGAAGGCGAACCCGGAGATTCGGGTGTCGGCGCCGCAGGAGGAGGTGGAGAGTAAGGAGGAAGAGAAACCAGTCGAAGTGGTCGCTGAGAAGGACGCGCCGGTGGATGAGGAGGAGGAGGAGGCACCGCAGGTTGTGGCGGAGAAGGAGGAGCCGGAGCATGTGTACACGACCGTCGCTGTGCCCGTGGTGCAGGCGCACCCGCACCCGTCCCGCACGCACTCGCACTCGGAGGAGGAGCGGGAGCGCGCCAAGTCGCCGCCTGCGCTGATGACGCCCTCGGCGAACGAGGACGA